TGGCCTGGCCAGTCAGAAACCCCAGTCACGTGGCAGCGATTTATTCTGCCCTGTGATTCCTTCTAGAATGAACCGGGCCAAACCCTAGAGGAACCTAAGTGACAAACAGAGTCCCATAGGCTCCTAGAGTGCCTGGTTCTGGAAGGTTCCTGAGCTCCCTAGCCATCCTTGGCTGTGGGTTCTGTGACACCTTCTCCCTCCCTCCCTCCTTCCCTTCTCTCTCTCTTTCTCTATTTTTGGCTGAAGGTAGAGCTGGTGTCTGTTACTTGCATCCAGAAAGAGTTAACTTGGGGTGTGCGAGGTGCCCCCTGCCTGGGGGTCTGGGGTCTGGCCCTTGTCTACTCCTCCCAGAACCTGGAGCAGGGCTGTCGGTCAGTGAACAGAAGCATCCAGGCCCTGAGGGCCCGAGAATGAGCCCGCGTATCCCTGGTTTGCACGGGCCCCTCCACCCCAAACCACTGGCCCCCAGTTATGGGTCCGCCAGGAGGCGGAGGCCTAGCCCTGGAAACAACGGGCCCAGCGCGCTCTCGGAAGTCGGGGGCATCTGCTCTGTCCGCACGGGGCCCCGAGGCAGCCCCGGGGTGAGAATCTGGGACTGTGAGAGGCAGGAAGGGGACAGTCCTGACGGATGTGCCGTTACTAGCCGGCTGGGGGTCGCTGGCCCTGCCTGTGGCTGTAGGTGGTTGGGCTTGTGGAACAGACAGGAGCCCCTGGCTGCATCCCACCCGACGCCCCAGCCAGAGGGGAGGCCTCTGACCAAGCTGAGGGCCGCTCCGAGTCCCCTCTGCATGCAGGCAGCCCTCAGGGAGCCTGTCCCTCAAGCGCTCACGGCCACAAGGGTCCGGCCGACCCTGCTGTGGCCATGTGGTTGCAGCAATGGGGACAGCGGCTCTAACATGAGGTGGTGGCCGCGCATGTCGGACGACATGCCCCCAGGGTCCCATTCGCGGTGGGTCCCGAGACTGGTCTGCTAGGCTCGGGGGCAAGTCTCTTCCCCTCCCTGAGCCTCAGTGTGTTCATCTGTGAAGCGGGGGGAGAGCCCCTCTCTGAGTGAGCGATGTCCATGTCCTTGGATGACATCTGCTTTGGGCCCCTTTCCCTGCTCGGCCTCTCCCCGGCCCTCGCTGCCCTGAAGAGCTGGCAGGGGCAGGGCCTGGGGGTGCCCAGCCAGCCACTCCCCACAGCTGATGACAGAGCATGTGGCGCTTCCATGGAAGCCAAAAAACAGAGCACAGATAAATCTGAGATTTTGTAATCGCGACTCTCGAGTAACCAGAAAACACAATGGGATCGTCAGTCCCACTCTAGCCTCTGGAGTTGGGTTTCTGCACGTTGCTGAGGTGCCCCCCATGAAAGGGCAGCTGGTGGAGGCAGGTGCCCCCAGGCCCTTCCCGAGAGGTAGGACGACTTGGGGCTGCAGCCCCTGGGCCGCCCATGGCAAATGGCAGGCGGGAAACACTGGACAAGCGTCGGCTATTTCTGTACCCAGGTCCCCTAGAAGCAGAGCCTGAGACAGGGATTGTGGCTATGGGATTTGCTGGGGATGCTCTCAGGACGGGGCAGGGTCTCTGCTTGAGTCATGCTGCAGCCTGTCCCCCCCGGGGGCGGGGCTCAGGAGTGTGAACCGAGTCCCCCGGGCAGGCCCAGCAGGACGCAAGGCCCTTTCATGCATGCGTGTGCATGTGTGTCCTCCGGATTGGGGCAGGCGCGGCCCCAGGGGAGGCACTGACTGAGGGCACTTCTCTGAAGGGGCGCCTGTGTGTCAGCCAGCCCCCCGCTGCTGGGGGAAGGGAGCTGTGGTCAGGACACCCAGAGTCTCCTCTGCAGGGGCGCCTGCCCCAGTCGGCCCCAATTACCCTGTGGGGTTACTGTGCACGGAGATGCTGCTGAAAGTCAGTCTCTGGCCGCTGGTCACAGCCTTGGTATCAGCTGACATGGGCTGTGGGGGAGGGGCACCGAATCCCTCCCTGGGGCCGGTTTGGGATGGGCTGAGCCTGCCTGGAGGACACTGGCTCTGTCCCCCAACCCCCTGCCTCTCTGGGCAGGGCCTGGCGGGTTTTCGAGGCCTAGGGGAAGGGCTGACCAGGTTTGTGGAAAGAACCGGGGGACCTGGGACAGTCCTCCCATTCTGGAAGTCAGGCTCCGGGGGGTGGGGGACACACACCTCGGGATGAACTCTGGGCTTCTGGAAGGAGAGCTGTTGCTCTGGTGAACACTTCTCCTTTGTCCTGCCTACTGCAGTCGAGGCCTTGACTGGCTGCCATCGTGAACCCCTGACGTGGCGTCGCTGCCCCCATCTTGCAGAAGGAGGGACAGCCCAGGGCTGAGCACAGCTGGGGCCAGACCCGACCTCCAGCTTCATACTCACCCCAGACCTCTAGGGATGTCCCGTGCTAGGCCCGTGGTGGTCCTGGTGGAGGGGGACGGGGGATATGTGTTGGAGGAAACCCCCAGGCCCCTGCAAGTTTTCCGTCTGGAGCCCCACAGAGACACCGGGGGAGCCTGGGGGCGTGGCAGGGAGAATGGAGACTCCCCATGGCCGGGTCAAGGTGGGACACCCGCGGGTCCTCACTGGTAATGTCGGTGTGAAATACCGTTTCAGAGAGCATCACGTGGGTCTTTCGAAGACCCTCCTGGACAGCAGTCAGAAGAGGGGAGCAGGGCAGGCCGGGCCTGGAGGGATGGAGGGTGTCCCCTCGGAGTGGGGGAGTGCAGTGGCTCTCAGAACCCGTCCCCCCGGGACTGATGGCCATGGTTTATGATGCCACATGGACTCCCATGGTTCAGGCCCCTGCAGATGCTGGGGTCTAGAGGGGCCCACACCAGACACATGGCCCCCATGGGCTTTTTCTGTCTCCACATTAAACCTACCATAATTTCCCATCAATTAATGAATAAAATTGACATGTCTTGTGAAGAGGATGCGCACGCTGTTGCCTTCATTCTCCTGCTCTTGCTTCTCCTTTATCTTTACCCATGGTGTGCTCAACCTCCAGAGCTGGCTTGGTTAAACTGCTCGCCCATCCAGCTGTCCGTCCTGTCTTCCTTCCATTCCTGCATTCGCCCAGCCCGCGCCCCCCCGCCCATCCCCTACCCAGCCCGCGCACACCTGCCCGCCCCCCCAGCCCCCACCCAGCCCGCGTCCACCCACCCACCCAGCCCCCACCCAGCCCCCACCCAGCCCTAGTCCACCCTCCCGCCCAGCCCCCACCCAGCCCTAGTCCACCCACCCACCAGCCCCCACCTAGCCCGTGTCCACCCACCCACCTATCCCCCACCCAGCCCCCACCCAGCCCTAGTCCACCCTCCCGCCCAGCCCCCACCCAGCCCGCCTCCGCCCGCCTGCCCGCCCAGCCCCCACCCAGCCTGTGTCCACCCACCCACCCATGTATTCATCCATCCTTCCGTTTATCTGTCCACCCACCATTTGCTGAATACCCACTATGACCCCCATGTTACATCGGATACAGAAACCCTAAAGAGGAATATGGCATGGTTCTTTGTCCTCCAGAATCTCCCATGTTCAAGGGGGGAAGAGACAGTGATGATGATGTAGTTCACACTGAGGACTTACGGGCCTGGTGGCGCATGCCAAGTCCATCTGACATTTTCCATGGATGTGGCTGACTCCATTGGAAAGATGCCTTAGTGGAGTGCTGAAGTATTCCCTGGCAGGGGGTAACGCTCCCTTCTGAAGAGGCCTGGGCAGGTCAGGAATGACCCTCACATAGAACACTGGGCAGCAGTGACCATACATAGGCACTGGGGTCTGGGCCACAGCTTAAACTCACAGCGTGGAGACCTCATCCTGGACAAGAGTAAGGAGGATCCGGCCAGGGCAGTGGGGATGGACCCCGCCCTGCTGCCCCTGCTGCGTGCATGCGTGTGGGGATCCTTCCTGGGACGTCTGCTTACAGAGAGCATGGCCATATGCGTCCGGGTGGGCGGCTCACTCTCGGGCTGTCTCCCTGGCGGGGAGGGGGACGCGCAGCATTGGGTGGCCCTGGCTCTGGGCTTGGTCATTACTAGAAGGACACAACCAAACCATCAATGAAAAGACAAAAGAAGGGACATTCTTAATGGGACAGAAGCTCCAGAAAAACACAGCCCGGGGCTCGGGGAGGTGAGAAGAGTAGTTAACACTAATTGTGTCGGCCTTGGGCTGAGGGCTGCTGGCTGGGTCTTCCGCGGAGTCTGGGATCTGCATCCGGGTGGCCACCCAAGAGCCCACTCATAACTAACCCCTGTGTGTTCTGCTGCCTGGACCCTCCCCTGACACTCAGAGAAGGTCATCCGCAGGCAGAGATGAAAGTGAAGGGGATCTGGGCTCCTTCAGCTCCGAAGAGTAGGGCCTTTAGGGCCTCAGACGCCCCAAGTCCTCGGAGTGCAGATGCCGTCCCCGTGAGCCTGGAGTGAAGGGTTTCCAGTTTCATATCCTCCAGGGATGAGTGTGGGTCCCCCCAGACCAGCCCCGAGGGGAACCCCCTTATGTGCCATCAGCAGCGAGTGGACGGACCCTTTGTGGTCGAGGACACACACGAGAATCCTGCAATGGTGCAGGTCACTGCACAGGGGTCGCGTGGATGTCGTGGACGTGGGGCAGAATGAGAGAAGCCACGCACGAGGCTTGGTCCTGCATGTGTCCCTTACGTTGAGCTCTGACCAGGCAAGGTCACCTGTGGGGACAAAGGACAGAGGCTACTCTCAGGAGGACCTTGGTCCCGGGGGGAGGTGGCAGGGGGCCTAAGGGCGCAGGCGGCGGCCACGTGGACGCGTCCACTTCATGAAAATTCATACAGCTGTACAGTTTTGGTACTTTCTCTATATACGTTATACTTAACAGATTTACCAAAAAACGCCCCAAACTAAGGCCTGCACAGTAAGGAAACGAAGGGTCCCCAGCAGGTGAAGAAGTCCCAGCACGTCGGTCTGTGGGGAGGGTGGTATGAGGTGATACAGAGACTCAGCGTGATGCTGCGTCCACGTTCTTTCATTTCCAGATAACTCACCGAGCACCTGCTGCGGGCCCAGTCCTGCCCTCGGCCCGGAGTCTACGACGGGGAAGAATCCACGCTGAGCCACGCTGGCCGCAGGGAGCTTGCCACCAAGTGAGGGGCGGCCGGTAACTCACGTCCTGGCTTCACTCTTGGCCCCAGGCCCCTAAAATGGTGGATGCGCTGGGCACACACAGCATCTCCAGGCCTGCTCTGGGTGCAGGTGCTGCAGACAGAGCCCCTACCCCCAGGCTGCTGGGGACACAGAGCCGGGGCCGGGGGAGCACAGGGAAGGGCCAGACCCAGGCTGGGGAGGGGTGAGTCAGGGAGGCTTGCAGGGGGAGGTTGCCTTTGGGACGAGCCTAAAGGTCACGTAGGAGGCGAGGGCTGTAGGGTTGCTCCTAGCTCAGGGAGCAGGGTATCTCTCCTCCTGCAATACTGTTTCCCCAAATCGCTCCCTGCTCCCTTCAGCCTCATCTCCAGTACCTCTCCCCAGTGTGGGATGATGTGGGCCATGCCCACTTTAGCTTCTGGGAGCAGAGGCTTGTGTCCTGTCCGGCCGTCCCCCTGGAGTCCAGCCCAGAGCCTGGCTCACCCTGGCAGCTCAAGAGATATTTGTGCAGCTGACCTTTGATTGGCTAGCTGGCACGGTGCCCGGGACCCCCACCCCATGTGAGATCAGCTTTTCAGCTAGAATCACCCGAGATGTTGCGTGGCGTTCCTAGGTCCCCATCTCGGTGCAAACACCCTGTGACCTTGCCCACAACACATCTCTCGCTGAGCCTCAGTTCCCCTCATATGTCGGGGAAGATAGACCTGCTTTAATCAGCAAGCGGCACACGGTAGGTGTTCAGGGGGCGCGGCAAACAGTATGGTGATGTGCAAGGCCCATGTTATTGAAGGGTCGGGCTCACCGTGTCTCAGAGACCCAGAAGCCAGGGCGTGGCCAGCACTGCAGGTGGGCGAGCACAGCTGGAGTGGACACGCCGGGTGCACGCTGCGTGGCCGTGTGGCCTTGGGTCCCGTGACCAGCATCCACCCCAGGCTCTCCATGACCCCGGTGCTCCACAGGAGGCCGCCGGCTGCCCTAACCTTGTCCTCCACCTGTAAACAAACTGTCTGCTTTTCTCCTGCTGACCAGTGCTCATTGGCAGGAGACACAGAGAGAAACTTGCTGGTGGTGCTCAGTGTACTCTTCTCCCTGCTCCAGGCTGTGAACTCCAGGAAGATCCATCCACCCATCATCATCGACTCACCCATCTATCTTTCCTTCTTCCCTCATTCCTCCCTCCCTCCACCCACCCACCCATCCATCCTTTCTTCCTAGGAGAGGTTTGTTGAACCAGGACATCCCACACGCCAGGTACCTAGTTAGAGACCTGAATTGCCCTCTCTCACCTCCTCTTCTTGGCCAACTCCTATTCATCCCTCAATACCCAACTGTGTTCTCACCTGCCGGGAGGTCCCTCCAGACGTTTGCAATGATGTAACCTTGTAACAATGTAACCCACGCTACCGCACACCATTTCTTGAGTCACCTGCTTCTCTGCCGACTGATTTTAATTACTGAGCCAGGGACTGGTGTGCAGATGGAACCTCTTCTTGATGGTGGGTCAGCCCCCACTCTGTTGCTGTCTGGGAAGAGAGTGATCGTGAAGAGACAAGCAACAGCACAAAGCGCCAAGTCCTCAGCGACCGGTCACGATCACCAGGCAGCCGTCAGTGGGGTGCCAAGTGGCCTGGGGTCCACCGTTGTCACGCACGGGCAGGGCATCGGTGCCGAATCTTGGGCCGCTGAATCGTTTACAGGTTTTCAGGATGGAGACAATAGGAAGCCCTGGGACAGGTGAGACAGGACGGAAGCCTGCAGCGGACCCAGGCAGTTTCAGACGTTTCCTGGTGCAATGATTCATCCAGAAATTTATTTTAAACCTCATTTCTATCCAGTGGTGATCGTGGCATGTTGAAACCGGACCCTGGTGTGGCTTTCTCCCCTCCCCCAGCATCAGGCCATGTGGAAGGGAAGTGCAGGGTCTCCTACCCCAGAGACAGTGGCAGGCATGTCTCAGCCCCGTCACCATCCTGCTGTGTGCAGAGCCTGGGCCTCTGAGTCCTCATCTGAGAACTGCACATGGGCCAGGTGCCCCGAGTCCCCTGACACGGACAGTCCTGCTGTGGCCATACCCCTTCGCTGAGCCAGTCTTCTGCTGCAGGAGGGAGCGGCCTGCATGGGAGCACGGGTTGTGGGGTGAGCCAAGCTCTCCTGAGTCACCGGGGTCAGACTCTTCCGCCCTGACCCGCGCAAGGTGGGTGCCCAAGCCAGCACCTCCGGGCTTCTCAGGGAAGGAAGGAGGGGGTGGCAGGGCTGTTGGGAAGCCCTGGGGTGGAGACCCTGCAGGATCCGTGGGCCGAAGGGCCAAATGAGAGTGGGGGCAGGGCAGCCCCTGCCCAGAAAGCCCCCCGAGACAGCCTGTTGGAGGCCAGCCAGGAGGGCGCTGAGCAATTGCGCATAAACGGCCCCTTCCCAGAACGGGCTTTTTGGAAGATCCCCGCATTCTCCCGTGGTGGCCCAGGCCCAAGGCCACGTCAGCAGCAGGCCCGGCCTGGGAGGCAGCCTGTGTTCTCAGGGTTTCCACGAGGCACAGGCTTCTGGCAGGATGTGCGGGAGACCAGGCGCCCAGGGAATTGCTTTCCTCTCCTCAGACAGAGAAGGAAAAAGTGACTTCCAAGAACTGAGTCGCATTCAGGAACCTTTCTGCCTTGAAAGGACCCTTTCTCTGCACCGGCTGGCGCTTGCAAAGGGCTCTGATTCTGCCCGCCTGGCTTCAGTTGCGTGTAAGGGCAGCGGGGGCAAAGGGCCTGCGGGGGGGGCCCTGACCCAGGAGGGGAGACAGCCAGGGGGAGCGAGGGCTCCGGGGGGATCACCAGGCCCAAGAAAGCATCTTCGTGGGGCAGGTCGCCCTGCTCACAGCCAGCTTCGTAACCAGGCCCTGACCCCTGTGGCCACAGCAGCCCGGACGAGGCCGTTCTGGGAACCTCAGGCTTCCCACCCGTCAAATGGGCAAGAGGTGGCAGGAGACAGGGCGGCTCTAGATTCATCAAAGACTTTCTTGGGTTCTTTGCAACCTTGACAAGGGGTGTGGGGTGGGTCCTGCCCATGCCCTCATGTCATTTGCCCTTAGGTCCCATTTTGTGTCCTAGTGTCCCCCAGCCAAGGAGGAGATGGGTGGCCCGGCTGCCCTCCCAGAGCCCAGCTGTGCAAGCAGCGCTTTCTGGGAAGACAAAAGGAATCTTCACGGAAGCCCCAGCTCAGCGCCACATCTGGTCTGCGTCGGGGCAGAGGAACGTGTGGGGAGGGAACGAGAGTGTTCACAATAAGTAGGACAACAACCACATTTCCGGAGGGCTTGGGGCGCCTGGCACACAGGCCATGAGACAGCTCACTGGGTGGTCCTAGATGCATCCATCATCCCTTCCAAATGTCATCTTCAGAGAGCCAGACAGAATGTGCCTGCAAGGGCTCTGGCCGGCCTGGTCGCCCTGCTGGGTCACTAACTTTGTGAGTGCCCGTGGGTGGGCCCCTGTCTTTGGGGGCCTCCGTTTCCCCATGTGTGGAGTGATGGGGAATGAGCCTCGGTTAGGGAAGGAGCCAGGCTTCCTCTGGTGGGGAGGAGTGGGGGTGCAGAAGTCAGGTGTGGAGCTGAGCTGGGGAAGGGGTGGGCTTGGCGAGACCCCGGCAGACAGGCTGAAGGGAGAAGCAGATGCTGCTGGAGCTGCAGGGACGGGCCAGTGAGGGGTAAGTGGGCGTGCTTGAGTGGTTCTCCGGAATGTTCCTTGGTGGGGGGGGTGGGGGGGGCAGCAGGTGCTCACCCCTTTGAAATCCTGCTCTTCCCCTCCTCTTGGCTGGAATGCAGGTCTGCTAGTTGGAGCTGCAGCAACCACATTGTGACTCTGAAGACACACCACTCACTAAGTATGCTGAAGCAGAGAGAGAGGAGGATCTGGGGTTTCTGCCAACCTCACATCTGCAGGAAGACAGCTATAACCTAATCTCTTACAAATGCAAGACAGCTATAACCTAATCTGTTATAAATGCAAGACAGCTATAACCTAATCTCTGGTATAAATTAAATGTGAAATTTTTAATCAAAATTTTGCAAATTGAATCCAATAGTATGTAAATAGGATAATATTTTACAACCGAGGCAGATTTATGCCAGGAATACAAGGTTGGTTTAACATTTAAAAAGCAATCAGAGTAATTTACCACATTAACAAGCAAAACATGAAAAACCAACAATCATCTCAATAGAAGCTAAAAAACCATTAGCAAAATCCAACACCTATTTTTGGAAAAAAGTCTCAGCACACTAGGAGTGGAAGGGAACTTCCTCCAGATCCAGGACACCTGCAAACACCCACCGTTTACACCCTACCTGGTGGAGCAGGACTCACGCCTCCGGGAGCAGGGACGAGACGAGGTAGGGGAAAAAGAACAAAGCCGAGGTATTATTACACCACCTGATGAAGGGAGGCGCACGCGGCATGCACTATCTCCTGGCATCCTTTTAAGGACTCCGCGGGGGAAACTGAGGTGTAGGAAGCTGCTGGATTACTGGATATCCTGCAGTGGCGAGCATGGGGGGCTGGAGGCTCAGGCGGCAGGACCGCCCATTCTCTGCGGACTGCTGCATTTCCAGCTTCCAGCCCCATGCCTGGCACATCGCGCACGCAGGGCTTGGGAAATTACTAGTGGTAAGAATTGTAATGGCTAGCAGTCACTGTGCACTGAATCCACGCCTGGATTCAAACCCTGTTTGGATGGGACGGGGTGCTGAATGCACCCTTCCTGCACCTAGCGTCCTAAGGAGGGACTTTTCCTAGACCCTCCTGGGCTCTGGCCTCCAGCTTCTCGTGGCCCCTTGCAGGAGGAGAGCATCCTTCCTTGCTGGAGCATGCCACGCATACGCACACAGCTTCTGAGCCCTCTGGCCACTCCGAGCACACAGTGTGGCAACTCCTCCCAGCCGCCAGGCTTGGGGGCAGCCCCTTGGAGAGGCTTGCGTGGGTCACTGCTGCTGGTGGCCAGGCGGCGGCCTAACCCCAGAGCCTGCCGTTAGGAAGCTATTATTGCTGCACAATCGAGCTATGTTCTTCTGAATCCAGCCTTTTGTTCTGTTTTAAGTAACAAAGCTAATAATGCATTTCCATTCCCGTCTGCCTGATTGCTTTGTCTCCCAGTTGGCTCCAGTGAATCTCGGACAGGGCAAAAGTGTATGGTTAATTAAGACTTCTTTGCTCCCAGAGCTAATCCACACACCGTCCCTGCGGGGTGGGTTTTGTTACTGTCCTCATTGTGCAGACGAGGAAATTGAGGGCCAGAAAGACAAGTGAGCGGAAGGACAATGTCCCGTCAACGCACAGGCTCCTTGCCATAGAACACCCAGCCTCTGACACAAAGGGCCAGGTGGGGTGGCAGGCAGAGGGGGTGAGGAGGACGGACCCTCTGGGGGCCGCCCTGTGCCCCGTCGGCTCCCCCCTTAGCGATGGAATCACAGGCAGGACATGGGTGGCATCCCAGCTGGAGGGCAGGGGCTGGGTCCCCATGTGGGACCCGGCGGGCGCCAGGCCCCTCGCGCTGAGCAGGGCCACCCTGTGTGCTGGGGTCTGAGCAGCCACCGCGGGCTGGAGAGCATGCTGGGCCGGGATGCCGCCGTGTTCCCGGGGCCATCTGGAGGCCAGTGTTTGTGCCTCAGCCTCTGGCAGGGGGAGGTTGCCAGGGCTGACTTTCCGCTGCGAAAGGAAATGCTCTGGAAGGAATGGGGTGGCCACGTGGACCACAGCCCCGTTTCCCAGCCAAGCTTAGGCTGCTCTTCCTTCCAATGATCCTCCCTGTCATGATGGCCGAAGCCGCTTTCTAGCCTCATCCCCGGGGCTACAGGCCTCGCTCCGCTCAGCAGATGCAGGCAGCCCCACAGGCCACACTCGGTTCCTGTGCCCCGGGAGCGCTGGGTCCAGTGGGGAGGCCGAGGAGCCGAGAGGCGGTCACGCATCCACGGCCAGCACTGCGGCCGTGACGGTGATCAGCTAGAGTCCTTCTGCAGCGCCGGGAAGCCCGTAAAGATGACCTTATTGAACACTTGAAACAAACTTTGAGGCTATGTTATCACCTTGTTTTATAGACAAGGAAACTGAACTCAGAGAAGTTAAGGAACTTCCCTAAGGTCACCTAGCTAAAAGAGAAGCAGGGTTTTGAACCGTATTGACTGACCCCAGTTTGTCGGATTGTGATCCGTGTGGTTTCTGCTTGATAGAGGGGAGCAGAGAGGCTGGGAGAGCCCAGAGGAGGCACCAAAGATAGGCCTGGCATCAGAGAAGTCTGCCTGGGAGCAGTGAGAACACAGCTGGGTATTGAGGGATGAATAGGAGTTGGCCAAGAGGAGGAGGTGAGAGAGGGCAATTCAGGTCTCTAACTAGGTCCCAGCCCCGGGGTTGGGTGGTAATCAGGAGGGCTTCTGGGGGGAGGTGTTTCCTGGGGTGACACCTTCAGAATCCATCTCCATAGAGGCCCTGGGACAGACAGAGGTCGAAAACTCACAGCCTTTCATCGAGGGCCCTCCAGGGCACGCAGGCCTCCCTGTGAACCAGAGAGGTTTCTGGGCCATGGAATTGGCAAAGGGCAGCAGAAAAGCAGGGCAGAAGGAAGACGCCTTTCAAAGGAGGGTCAAGAATTTGCTGCTCGGGAAATATTTCTGGGAAAGTTCAATGGGGTGGCCTGTGGAATCTCAAATATTCCAAGTTTAAGAGGAAGGAAGGTTTGTGTTCCCCGGGATATCGGCCTGTCTTGGCTCTTCACGGGCGAGGCCGAGGCCTCCAGGGAGGGGCAAGGTCAGCACTGCGGAAGGCGTGCTTAGGGGAGCGCAAGTGGGAGGCGGGGGCTGAGCCAGCGACAGCCCCTAACGTGGAAAACATTTGGGGCGGGCCTCTATCTGCCTGCCACTCACCCCTGCTCTGTTCTGTCTACGTGGCTGCCCTGGGGATGGGCGTCATTATTCCGGCGGTGGGGGGCGGGTGGAGACACCCAGGAGGCCCCACCCCCCACTGACTCTTGGACGGGTCCTCTGCAAGATGCTGCCTCATCTGCAGACCGCTAGGAAAGAATCCACTGCAGGGGAACCAGGATGTGGCTGTCATCTCCAGGCCAGACCCACAGCTTTCCGCAGACCCGCACGTGAAGGGGCAGGGACCCGGCTTCCAGCCGCCCCTGGGGAGCGTGAGGGTGCACAGTGCAGTGGGACAGGCACTGAGGCTTGATACTCGTCCCCCGGGTGCTACAGTCTGGACACCTCCTGTTTCTGTCTTGACGTTCTGTTCCCGGTTTTAGAGCTGAGGAAACAGGCATGCAGAGAGCCTGTGGCCGTGGGGTCCGGGCCCGGCTTCATGCGCAAGGGACTGGAGTGTGCTTGGAGATCCCGCTTCCCCCCAACCCAGCCCAGCACCCCCTCGCCGCCCCCCCGACCCCGGGCAAAGCCCTCTGCAGCCACTGCACCAAAAGTGACGTCCCAGCAGACGAGACCGTGCAGGCACGCGTGAGTGTGTGTGTGTGCACACGTGTGGCCGCGTGTCAGGGCCTCTGAGCTCCGGGAGTTGATGTGCAGCACCTGACCCTGTGGGTGTGGAGGCCAGGCTTATGGAACCGCACAGTCCTGTGCGTGTGTAATGAGGTTTCCTAGAACAAAATGCTGACAGGGAGGATCTCCCACCTTTTCTTGATCCGGGGTCCCCACGATGCCTCTCCTCTGAGCCCAGGTTGTTACGGAAGTTTTGTTTTTAAGTTTATATGTTTTGTTTTTTAAATTCTCACACAGGCCACATGCCTTTTTGGGCCTAGGGTGTTGTGGGTTTTAACAAGCGTGTAGATTTGTGTGAGTGCACCAACCCGCCCCCCAGAGAAGCCCTTCAGGCGGCGCAGGGGCCCCTGTCCACGGCGCTCACGCCCGCCACCAGGACCGTGGTTCTGTCCTCCCAGGACGTCACGTGAGTGGAACGAGACGTGACAAAGTCTTCAAAGCAGCTTCAGTGAAGGTCGCCCGAGAAGAAAGTGGGCCACGGAGGGCGGCTTCTTTGGGCAGCATGAGGCCCTTGGGACCGTTCCTGTTGGTCACTGGGGGGCAGCGTCGGGGGACGTGGCCTGGTTTGTTTTCCATTCGCCCAGTGGAGGACATGTGCCTTGTTTCACGTGGGTGTCCTTTGCCCAATGTGGCAGCTGTCAGCCACTGTCCTCCCGACGCCTGCCAGCCCCTCTCCCATGATGCCGTTGACACAACCCGTAGACCTTCTGCTGTTTCCCAGGTCTCCAAAGCGTTGTTCACCTCTTTCTCTTTTTCTTTTTCTTTTTTTTTTTTTTAAGATTTATTTATTTATTTTAGAGACAGAGAGAAAAAAGGAGCGTGCTCATGCAAGAGAGAAAGCATGGGCGCACGCAGGGAGGGAAGTGGCAGAGGCAGAGGGAGAGAGCATCTCAAGCGACTCCTTGCTGAGCGTGGAGGCCGCCCTGGGGCTCGATCTCACGACCCTGAGACCATGACCTGAGCTGAGATCAAGAGTCGGACTCAACCGACTGAGCCACCGCTTCTCTTTTTTTAATTGCACTTTTTATTGAGACGAAACTCACATAATGTAAGTCACCCTTTTTTAAGTGTACAGTTTAATGGTTTTTAGTATATTCCCAATGTTGGGCATCACTAGTCTGCTTCCAGAACATTCCTACCCGCCCCAGGAAGAAACGCCTTACCTGTGAGCCCTCAGCCCCAGCCCCCTCCCAGATTAGGAGCCCCTCATCTGCCTTCTGTCTTTACAGATCTGCCCGGTGTGGACATTGCATATGGACGAGACCAGGGACACGTGGCCTGTAGTGCCCGGCTTCTTCCGCGGAGCTCCACATCCTCAAGGCTGCGGCTCGTGTCCTTCCAGTGGCTGAGGAGCATTCCCTTGTGCAGACACATCACATTTAAAAGCTCTGTTCGTGGGTTGGTGCACATGCGCGCTGCTTCCCCCGCCTAGCTACTGTGAATCATGCTGCGTGAGCACCCATGTGCCGGGGTCTGGGTGAACCTGTGCTTTCAAGTCGGTTTGAACCAAATCATGTATGTAGCTGTGTAATTTCTGGGTCCAGGGAACTCTATTTGTGATTTTTGAGGGACTGCAGAACTGTTTCCTGCCGCGACTGCACCATTTTACCTGCCCACTGGCAATGCATGGGGGTTCCGATTTCCCCGTGTCCTTGTCAACACTTGCTACTTTCTGTTTCCCGTGAAAGCCGTGCTCGTAGTTGTCGGATGGTGTGTCACTGTGGTTTGGATCCACGTGTCTCCAGTGTTGAGGGACATGGAGCACTTTCTCATGGATCTGCTGGGCATTCGTATGTCTTCTTTGGATAAGTGTCCATTCATATCCTTTGCTCGTGTTAAAATTGGATTATTGGTCTTTTTATTGTCATAATCTAGATACCAGACTCTGATCAGATACATGATTTGCAAATAGTTTGTCCCATTCTGTGTGTTTTTTTCCTTTTTCACTTTCTTGGGAATGTCCTTTGCAGCAGAACTCTTTAATTTTGATGAAGTCCAATTGATCTTTCTTTTTTTGCTTGTGCTTTCAGTTCTATATCTAAGAAACCTGTCAAATCAAAGGTCACAAAGTCTTACACCTGTGTTTCCTCCCAAGGGTTTTATGGTTTTAGCTTTTGCATTAAATTCTTCGGGTTAATTTTGAGTTAAATTTTATATATGGTGTGAGGTAAGGGTCCAAATTTATGATTTTTTGCATGTGGATATCCAATTGTCCTGCCACCATTTATTAAAAAGATGGTTCTTTCCCCATTGAATGGTCTCGCCAGCCCTGTGGAAGGTCAATTGGATACACCTATATGGGTGCATTTCCAGACTCTCAATTCTAGTGCCCGGGTCTGTGTCTATCCTGATGACACTAGCTTGGTAGTAGGTTTTGAAATCAACGACGTGCATCCTCCCACTTTGTTCTCCTTTTTCTGAGGTTGTTTGGCTATTTGGGCTCCCTTTCAATTCCAAGTGAATTTTAGAACCAGCATATCCATTTATGCAAGCCAGGCAATGGGACTCTTGTTAGGGATTGCATGGAAGCCGTAGCTCCATCTGGGGAGTATTGCCGTCCTAACAAAATAGCAAGCCGTCCATTCCATGCACACACAATGTCTTCCCATTTATTTAGCTCTGCTTTCATTTCTATCTTGCAGTTTTCTCTATATAAGTTCATGTCACACGTGAATTGAGACTTTTACTTCTTCTTTGCAATCTGGAGCCTGTAATTTCCTTTCGTGGTCCGACTCCCCTGGCTAGAGCCCTTGTACAACGTTGAACAGAAGTGGCTGTGCTCCTGATCTTCAGGGAAGCACCCAGCCCTTGCACTGTCGGGCATGAGGGTCACCACGGCTGTTCTGTGCACGTCCTCTATCAAGTGGAGGAAGTTCCCTCCTGTTCCCAGTTTGTGGGTGTTTTTGTCATGAAAGGGTGTTGGATTCTGTGATCATTTTTTAACCTCTTTTGTTCTCTTTTGTTCATACTGGATGATTTCTGTTGCTCTATCTTCAAATTTTCGCTGGCTTCTTCTTCTGTTATTTTTCTCTGGCCATCGAGCCCCTGTGATGAGTTTTAAATTTTGATTCCTATATTTTTCAGCCTTATGTTTTTCCTTTGGCTCTTCTTTACATCTTGTGTTCCTTTGCTGAGTTTTTTTTTTTTTTTTTACCTTTTTCTTTCATTTCAGTTGTGTTCATGCTTCCTTCCTGGGTTATTTTTATGATCCTGCTTTCAAGTTTTCGTCAGACAGTGCTGATGTCTGAGTCATCTTGGCATTTCTATCTGTTGGTGGTCTCCTCCCACGCAAGTTGAAATTTTCCTGGTTCTTCGTATGCCAAGTACTTCTGGATTGTATCCTGGACATTTAGAATATTCTGTCTTATTTAAATACTGTGGAGAATGTCCATATTTTTGTGGTAACGGGAGATGGATCCAGCTGGGTCCAACCCACAGTTTCCCCACAGTTTCCAGCAGCCTCCTTGGGTCGAGGTTTAATGTCTTTAACATCAGCTCCATTTCCAGTCTTGGATGTGACTTGTCCTGTGTGCACCACCCAGTGGCCAGTCTGGGTCCAGGGAGGTGGTCTCCACTCAGCGGAGTCCTTAGTCCTGGCATCCTATTTACACCAGCTGCACACACGGGCGGCTCAGGAGTGGGCCTGGGGGTTCAGGAGCAGCCTATGGTGTCAGGTTCCAAGCTCCTTCCTCTTTAGGATGTGTCTGGAGGCTTTCTGGTTCTCAGGGGTCCCCTCCTCAGTCTTGGTTAGCCTGACTTGCTGCACATCTCCTGGAGCTACGCTGAGTCCAGTGCCAGGCAGTGGGAAGACAGGACACAGTGATCGGCTTTGTCCCCTGCTCTGGAGCCTTGGGCTCCTTGGATTGGGAGAGGAAGGTTTGGGCACCTATGGGCTCCCGCCACCCCACTGTTAGTGCTGTGGGTGCCTGGGAGACAGCGGGGAATGGCCCGTGTGGCCAGCAGATGGAGGCCCAGTGCTGGGCGCTCGCCCCTGTGCAGTGCCCCCTTCTCCCTTCCCTGCCCTCAGCCAGGTGCCCAACCCCAGGAGCTGCTCCCTTCCCGAAAACTCCCTACCTGCCGGCTCCCTCTCCTTCCCCCTGGCAGCCTGAAGCAGGGTTTCTGAGACTGGCTGAGCTTCCGAACTTCCGAGCTTCCAGAGCTTTCCAGGGGGAGCTATTCCCTGCTGCTCCACCCCTCACAACTCCTCCGTCCCCTCCTCCCCCCCCCCAACCTCTCCTCTCCTTCTCTCCCTCCTCCCTCCTGTCTCCATGCCCACGTGGCACTCAGTCACACCTGACCACACCTCACACTCTCTGTGCCCATCACCCCTTAGGGTCTGTAGTCTTTCCTGAAGAACACTTAGAAAACCAAGGCTCAGGGAAGCTGAGAAGTGACTCACAATGGCAGAGCTGGGTCTGCAAGCCGTACCCGCCGGACTCTGCCTTCCTTGCTCTTTGCACCAGAGAGCTCCAGGAAGTCGGGCCTGAGTAGCTGGGAAGAGCTGTGCTTTATCCTTCTCTCTCTCCACTGGCTGGATGTTGACACACACGTCCCCAAGCCCAGGGGCCCGGGTGACTGTGCAGACGCCTGCCCCGCCCGGCCCCCAGGAGAGTGAGACCCAATGTGTGCTCTGATAAGACAAAGTTCAGGGGTTTGATTGCCAATATGACTCTAAGCAAGTCCCTGGCCACGTACTGTGAGAGCAGCTTGTAAAGAAGAAATAAAATATGAAAAGGAAAGAAGGAGAAAAGGTAAGATAAGCCCTAGTTAATCTCTCAAGGAGTCTCTCAGCAACAGATGGACACCAAGATACCAGGACGGAAGGAGCCAAGATTTTCTGTGCAGTTCTTCAACCTGAGTTTGAAAAGAATTTGGATATGCGGTGAAACTAGTAGGTTATGAGAAGGTAAAGATGGCGAGAGCAAGAACAGGGTGAGCGGGAAAATCTGCAGCGAGTTCCGTGTGGACAGCGCGGTCGTGGGCCTGAAGGAGAAGGGACAGGCAGGCACCCGGCCAGCCCTGAGAACTCTGTATTTTCTGAAGAGGGTAGTGACAGACCTAGTATGGAAAACATGGACACAGAGGAGAAGCAGGGAGTTTGGGGGTCAAGTGGCATGAGGCCGCAGGCACCAGTGCCACGCAAAGACTCCTCCACGGCAGGCCGGGGGCGCGGGGTCCGGGCCATGCAGCAGAAGCATGTTCTGTGCTCACAGCTGGCTGGGAGACCCGCAGGGCCGGGGTGCATCCTCAGCAGGCCCCTGGCCTTGAGCAGAGAGAGGGTGGGGACCGCCACAGCGGGACAGAATGTGGTGCTCAGTGCTGGCGGAGTTGAGGCCTTTGCAAGCTTTGCTAAGTTCTAGTCTGGGGTCTCGGATGATGCATCCAGAACACTGACAATTCATTCCATCTTCCCATACTTCTCAGATTGGAGTCAGCCGGGTGCAATCAGCTGTACAGTGCAAGGGAAATGTTGAGAGCCAGGGAGCACTGTCTTCCTCCCGGCGATTTCTGAAGGAGGGCTCTTGTTCAAATGATAGAATTTCACAATCAAAGAAGTGAAAGCTACTTGGAGGGTCTTTTGAAGGTAGCAGCAAGGATGCCATTGAGACTCCTGGACCAGGAGCCTGGCTGCCTGGTTCTAGCCCTTCATTCATTCACCCACCTATCCACTCATCAATTCATTCACTTGTCAGACATTTGCCAAGTTCCTCCAGATGCCAAGCTAAGAAAGATGATGGACCCAAGATGCAGAGATGTGAAGGCTGTGTGGTCCCCATGTGACTGGCTTGGGCTTTACTCATGTGAGCCCTTCCAGTACTCTTTGGCTTCCTGTAGGGGGCACCCCTAACACAGCAGGGAAAGCAGAAGCTCAGGAAGACTTGGTGTTGCCTGGGGCCCACTGCAGCACCCAGCAGGGCCAGGGCTGGCCCCGGGTCTGCCCACCTGCAAATCTCTCTTCCATTCCCCATGCATGCTGCATCACCCACACCCTCTGCCCAGCGTGGGGTCCAGGAGCTGGGAACCTCTTCTGAGCTTGCCACCTGTCTTCTTCTGCTAGGGAAAACCTGGACAGGTGGGATGAGGCAGGGTCTCGCTTTGTGGGAGGGGCCAATTCTCAGGTCTGCTCTTGAGACTGGGGTCATCAGGGAGCAGGTCTAGACCTAGCTTCTCAGGGCCATACCCTGCCATGGTTCCCAGGTATCCACACTCTTGGCTATGGCTCTCTGAATGCTGGGAAGAATGTTCCAGAGGCCCCAGAAAAGACATCCTCATGGCTCAGACTGTCCAGTTCTTTATTGCCTTTAGTCTGGCAAACCTCAGGACACATCTTCCCTCTTGGGCTCCATGGGATCCAAACAGGGAGGACCAAATACCCAGTTTATGGAAAATATTGATGCTTTGCTAGGTAAAAATCTCACAAAATGTTCAGCCTTGCTGGGTATTGGCAAAATGGGTGTGTGTCTGCCATGGCATCTTCCCTCCCCCACTTGAAAAGTGCTGCTATTTCTGTTTCCTAACTGAAAGACACTACTCCTGACTTCCTCCTATGGAAGAGGGGGATTTTTCTTCTTTTGCCTCCCCTCCATGCCCTCTCCCAGAAGTTGCAGCACAGTTTTGGTTTAGTCAGTGTTCAGTGTTGCTGGTGTGATGACCTAGTATATGCCCCTGACCTATGGACACACAATAGACCATGATTATATTGTCTTTCCAGCCTTCTCACTTGCCTGGAGTTGGCACTTGCCTTGCGTTTTTCATTTGCTTGGTTTTTCATGTACTTACCACTAACTTATCTCTAAACTCCCTTCATTGTGGCCAAGTGCAACAGGTTATCTATTGGTCCTTTATTAAACCTCTTTCCTGGGGCCTTCTACCTACAGCTCCAACCGGGCTAGGTTGCCCCTGCTTAACTGCAAGTTTCTGCAACTCCCTTTGCTCCCCTCCTGGGCTGGCTCTACTGCTTCCTGGTTCCCGTGGCTCCCTCATTCATGGGAGTCATTTAAGGTTAGTGGTTAAGGCACAGGTTTTAGAACCTGACTGCCTGGGGCCAAGTCCTAGCTCTTCTGCTTTGTTTAGACTCACCAGCCTCTTGCCCCTGGCCCCACCCTCCCTGGATGCTGGTTAAGACAGTACCATCTCTGTAGGTGGACTGCATTTGCAAGGTCCTGACAGAGAAGTTTTAAGCTGAGAACAGGAAAGAGGCAAGTCTTTGTAGTCAGGTGTGTGGAGATGCATTATGGGAGATGAGGCTTGAACAGTCAGGTGGGGCCTGGAATCCCAGGCTGACGAGTTGAGGGATGGGGTCTTATCTGTAGACAGTGGGGAGCCACTGGACATTCTTGAGCAGGGGGATTACCTGGAATTGAGATCGAAAGAGGCCCTTAGCCCCTGTGGGTCCATCAGAGTTCTTCATTTAGAAATAATGGGACCTGCTCCGGATAATTTAAGCCAAAGAAGAATGTGCTGGAAGCATATCAAGCCATTAACAGAAGCCAGGGAGAGGCTAAGGATCCAGACTTTGAAGAGGGTGGGAGGGTGGGGCCAGAGTAGGGCCCAGGGAGGCGGGAGTAACTCAGTGTGACTTCTGGGACAGTTTCACCATGAGTGCACTGTGCTCAGTAGATCCAGAAGTACTGTCCTGGGAGAGAGCAGTGGGTAACTTGGCTTGGGTCTTGTGTGTCCCCTCTGCCAGGCAGGGAAGGGGAGGTCCCTGACCCATACCTCACCAAGGTAGTGGCCAATGGTAAGTCTGAGTCCCCAGGTAAAGTCTGGTCCGAACTGTGGGCTGGATGCTGGGCAGGCAGGACAGGGGAGTCCAGCCCAGCTCACATCGCCACCCAGAGGTGAGTGGCTCACTCAAGGACACAGGGGGCTTGGGGCTGGGCAGCACCAAGGACTAGCCCATGAGATGGCTCAGAGCATCCCCTGAGCTGTCGGAGGAATTGAGAACAATGCTTGAGGCAAACGGATGTTTGGGAACTGTGTCAGGTGGATACAAGGAGGAGGTGGGCCAGACAGGAAGACTGGCCATGTGCTCGCACTGTATGGATGGTTTCCAACCCCAGTGTGGCACTGCTTGTGGGGTGGGGCCACTCGCAAGGTACGTGATCTCTGTCTCTATTCACACTATTGGGATTTTATCAAAATAAAAGCTTCTGCACAGCAAAGGAAATAATCAACAAAACAAAAAGACAGCCTACTGAATGGGAGAAGATATTTGCAAAAGACATTTCTGGAAGGCGTTAGTATCCAAAATATATAAAGAACTGATACAACTCGACACCCCCAAAACAAATAATCATTTTTTAACAAATTAAAAAGTGGGCAGAAGACATTGAACAGACATTTCTCCAAAGAAGACATCCAGACGGCCAACAGACACATGAAAACATGCTCAACATCACTCATCATCAGGGAAATGCAAATCAAAGCCACAATGAGACACGACATCACACCTGTCAGAATGGCTAAAATCAACAAGTCAGGGAATGACAGATGTTGGTGAGGATGCGGAGAAAGGGGAACCCTCCTACACTGTTGGTGGGAATGCAAGCTGGTGCAGCCACTCTGGAAAACAGTATGGAGGTTCCTCAAAGTTGAAAATAGATCTACCTTATGACCCAGAAATTCTACTACTGGGTATTTACACAAAGAAATAAAAACACTAATTTGAAAAGACATATGCACCCTTATGTTTATAGCAACATTATCTACAATAGCCAAGATATGGAAGCAGCCCAAGTGTCCATCCACAGATGAACGGATAAAGAAGATGTGGTATAAATAATACAATGGGATATTACTCAGCCATCAGAAAGAGTGAAATCTTGCCATAAGCAATGACATGGATAGAACTAGAGAGTATTAAGTGAAATAAGTCAGAGAAAGAAAGACCATATGATTTCACTCATCTCTGGAATTTAAGAAATAAAACAGATGAACGAAGAAAAAATGAGACAAACCAAGAAACAGACTCTTAACTAAAGAGAGCGAACAGATGGTCACCAGAGAGGTGGTGGGTGGGGCGGTAGTTGAAAGAAGTGATGGGGGTTAGGGAGCACGCTGGTGATGAGCACGAGGTGATGTACAGAACTGAGTCACCATATTGTCCACCGGAAACGAACATAACACTGCTCATTAATTATGTTGCAATGAAAAAACAAGCTACCGAAAGCTGTTCGGGTGACTCTTAAATGGCCAAGCGGAGGTGTTCCAAGATGACCTGTCCCGTACTGCACAGAAGCAATGGGCAGTTTCCACAGTTTGAACTCAGCGATCCAGCCCTAGCGCAGCTCTGCCAGGTTCCCGGGGCCGGGGAAGCAGGCATGGCCCCTGCCCTCTGGGAGCACCGCCCTCCGGGAGCACCGCCTCCCGGTGCAGACTGCAGCAAACCTGCCTTTGCAAATAGTCCGGCCCCCAGCACAGTCAGGAGGAGGCCGGCGGGAGGAGGAAATGTGCAGGCGGGGGGAGGTTGCGACAGGGCTCCCATGGATTTGGGGGCCAGGACGTGAGGCCTGAAAGGAGACCCAGCAGTAGCCAGGCAGAGAGAAGGTTGGAATTTGAGGCTGGGAATCCGGCTCTGCTCCCAGATGCCCCGCATCCAGCCTCCCGACCTCTCACCGGGGCCGTGCCCACCCGCAAGGCCCAGCTGCCCACTCTCGCCTTGCTGTGGTCCTCCCTGCTCCCCTTGAGCCCTGTCTCTTTGTGACACATGAGACGGGTGTGTCCTTTTCAAACAGGTCTCTCATGCACCAGCACTGCTTCTCAGCTCTCAAGGGACTTCTCAGCTCTCGAGGGAGAACTAAAGTCTCTGCAGTGCCCGCAAGCCCCGAGCGATGTGTCCAATGAGCATCCGTGCTGTGGGTCCCTCTCCTCCCTGGACACCGAGTCAGGGAAGCTGACCCTCGGCCCAGAGGGCCTCCAGAAGCCATCCAAGGGTTTGGTCATCACAGACATGGCTGGAAGCAGGTGGCTCAGCAGGGCTGCCCCCGGCGGGCTCTGGCCTGTGGGTAGACATGGGGGCTTTGGCTGCCTGGGGACCCTCCCCAGGGCAGGGGCAGCAGTGGGATAGTGGGAACCTAGGCGGCTGCCGAGACCGAGCAGCCCAGAGTGGAGGTAGCTGACTGGCGGGGTGGCAGGGTCGGATGGCGGGTTGGCTGAGCCCGTGGGCTGGCAGCTGGGATCCTGGCTCTGCCGTGAAGCCCAAGTGGAGACCCTTCACTCCTCGGAGCCTCTACTTCCTCACTTGTGAAATGGGCTCCCAGTGCGAGTGTCAGCCCGGGGCCTGGGACAGTGTGGGGGGCCTCGGTGCAGGTGTGTCTCCTTCCCTTGGATCCAGGAGGGACACAAAGAAAATAGGAGTCTCCTCTTGGGAGGGGTCCTGCCCTGGGGCAGGGGTCCCAGGCCCTCTGGCGACCTGGACCCCTCAAGGAATCTGGGACTCATGAAGGCTGCAAGTCACAGAGTTGGGGGGTCAGGTGGAGGGATGTTCTGGACAAATGGCTTGGGGGGGAGCTGCTGGGGCGTGGCCTTTATCTTCTGGAAAGCACACTGTTAAGTACTCAGGAATGCAGGGAGAAGTTGGTAAATGGTCCACAGCTCGGAATCAGCCAAGAGAGGCGTATTTGCACCATGGAAGCTGGCAAGGGCTATAGATCAGGGGTCTTCATTCTTGGCTTTCCTGGGAGCAGGTTTGCCAGCACACCACCCAGGGTGGAGAGTCAGGGGGCCTGCCCCCTGCCCCGGGACCTTGTCTTCCAGCCAGGCCTTGCGACACCCCCTTCCCCTGGCTTCTGCCCCCCAGACCACCTGTAGGACCACCTGCTCATCTCAGACTCAGCTGTATTCTGCAAGCGTGTTGAGCACGGCTGATGTGCAGGCCCAGATGGTAAGCACACCCCGCTGGAATGGGGGTTTTGTCATTCTGTCCGATCAACAGCCCCATGGGACGGGTGCCCGAGCCCCACCGCTGGACAGAGGAGCACCAAGTCTGTGCCCTTCCTGCGCCCTGCCTTGTCCTGGGGACCCAGCGCAGGGCGTTGAATGGCAGGGTAAGCGACTGAATGGACCCTTCTGGAAAGGGTCCCCAGCTGTTCCTCCTGGCACTCGAGGACAGAGCGCTCCCGGTTCTGAAGGCGGCACGGCCCCGGGGCCAACGTTGGCGAGCAGCTCCACACGCGGCATGCTGCGCCTTTGGAAGCAGGAGGCCACGGCCACAGCACGCGTTGGGGGAGGCCCAAGGCACGGGAAGGCACCTGGAGTTTTCAGATGCAGCTCTGGGGCAGCCATTCCCTAATTTCCCGGCCATTTCCTCCTACTCGGCCTCTCGCTTGTCCTGCCCCACCTGGCAGGGGGAGGTGGCTGGGGGACAATGATGAGGGGCCCTGCAGGACATTGTGGCCAGGAGCGGGAGGACAGGGTCCCGGCCGGGCTCTGTCTGCACTCTCCTGGGGCTGAGTCTGGCCGGCACTCCCACCCACACCCCTGCACGGTCTCTCTGCCAGGCGCCTCCACGGGGGACCCTGGTCAGCGGCTTCAGCCTCTGGCCTGAGCTTCCTGGGAGGCACCTTCAGCCCACTGTGGATGAGCCCGTGAGCTCCCCAGGGGCCTCCGAGCCACACTCTGTCCTGGGAGAAGCTGGCCATGCCCACAGCTGCTCCCGCCCTCACACCTGCTTTGTGATGAGGAAGGAGAGGCACAGAGGTTCCAGGTCCCGTGGACCCAGGTGTGATGGTGGCCTGCTCATTCTGCACCCTGGTTCTTGCTTGTCCACTATTTCACACTTACCAAGAGAATGTTCATCCTATTGGGACAGGGGCCCTGGTCACCTGAGCCCGGTGTCCCCCCTCCCAGTCCAGCACGGTGCCCACACATCTGAGTCCAAACGTGTTGTGGATTCAGCGGCTGAGTGGCTGGTTTTCGGCCCCCGGAGGTAGCCGAAGAACCTAAAAGTACACTTACCAAGGGCTGAGGCCTGTCTCTCCATGGGCAACAAGGCGGAGGGCTTTGCTCGCGCAGCTGCGGCCTGACCGATGAGAGGGCAGGGGTCACTCCTAGGAGCATCTGAGCAATCATGTCAGGCTGGGCTGGCCGTCGAGTTTCCAAGGATCTACAGGCAATTGGAGATATCTTCTAGGAAGGTAGAGTTTTCTTGTAATATGTTCAAAATCTATTTGTAACCCAGAGCCTGATGACACAGAGCCGGCATCTTTTTTAAAGAAATTAACTTCTCTATTCTTGGTCAATTCACTCCGGGGACGACATTCCCATGCCCGAGCCACCTTCTCTGCCGATGGGCATGGGGAAAGCCTTTCTTCTTCTGGTCTCATTTTTCATGACCAGGGGCAGTGGCCTGACATTCTGTGAGTGCACAGAACACCAGAGATTGCGATGGTAGGGAAATTCCATGTTTTAGGTTCAGCCATAAATTGAGCAAAGCTAAATGCAAAGTGCAGCCTTCCGTCCTAATAAGGGAATGAGTCAGAATGGGGACTGCAGGGAGGTGGGCCTGGGGCCTTTGTTTCCCCAGTGGGGCTAGGGGAGACTTTGAGCTGTCCATTCATTGCCTGCTCCCCTGATTTCTTTCTGATACAACCCGATTTCATCCCATGCCACTGTCGGTCTGGAAAACAGAAACCCATTCAGGGACTTCGGAGAGGATTTAATACAAGGTGCTGGTCACAGAGTGTTGGAAAGGCTGGAGGAGCAAGTGATAGGAGGGTGATGCCCCGAGATCAGGGCTACCCACGCCGGCGGGCTGAGCCCATGTCTGTGCCTGTGGCCAGCTGGGACCACCACCGAGGCTGTCACTTCTGTTACCACAGGTGTCTAGAGAGGCTGTGTGAACCTGGAAAGAGCAGAGAGTCTGCTTCTCCTCTCCCCCAGCCACATCTCCCACCGCTGGAGCCTAACTTGCCTGAGACATGTCCCCATCACATGGAGCAGGAATGAGGCTGAGAGCAAAACGGCAAGTGATCAGCACAGTGATAATGTGCTCATTGAAAGACTCCATGTCCCAGCTTCCCTTGTAGCCCAGCGTGGTCAAAGAGAGGTAATGGGAGTTGCTGAATGAGCTACCACAAAATGTTCAAAGGGGTTGGGTTATTTGTATATATCCTTTCTCCCTCCCTTCCTCTTCCTTCTCCTTTCTGCCTGAAATTTGGATGTGATGGCTGGAGCTCCTGCAGCAGTTTTGGACCAAGAGGTGACCTTGAAGATGTAAGTCACTTGTAAGAGGGCAGAACAAAAGGACAGAGCTAGGGTCCTGGATGATCATGTGACTGCCCATTGCCTCTGCCCTGGATGTCCCTCCTCTGGACTTTCCTACAGGAGAGACAAAACTTCTACGTTATTTCTCTGCTCGTTTGGGTTTTCTCTCCCATTTAGCTGAGCCAAATCCTGATTGCTGTCTTGATTTTCATTATCAACTAAAAACCTGAGACTCAAGTCCCCTATCTATAAAACTGGGCCGATAAACGATTGTTCAGTACACTGACTGGAAGGACAGCATTGCTGGTGGCCAACGTCTGCTTAGCCCCTGGCTTACCGATGCCCACTCCTCTGGGGAGGGGATGCGAGTGTGCAGCCAGGGAAGCTGGCTCTCTTCCGACTGAAAATGACTTTCTGTGTGGCTCTCTCGGGGAGAATGTGAATTAGTAATGGGGACTTCAGGGGTCGGCTTAAGGCCTGGCATGGGGGCATGGTGGTGCCACGATGTAGTCCTTGGCCCCCAGAGTTTAGAGGGGTGCCCCAAATGTGAGCAGGTAACTCACATTACGTAGTGGTGACATAACAGGGCATGGGACTGTTGGGGTCCCTGCAAGACAGGTCCCCAGACTGAGGAAGGGTTTGAGATTTCCTAGAGGAAGACCTGAAGGAGGGTCAGAGCCAGTGTGAGCAGTGGACACGGGGTGGAGCGGGGATAATACTCCGGCCAGAGGGAACAGTCTGTACAAAGACCTGAGGTTAAGAGGAAGAATGTCCAAAACATTAGAGTAGGGGGTGGGTGACCTTGCAAGTAAGTGAGCTCCCCATTCCTGGAGGTATCCAAGTGAAGGCTGATGTCCAAGGAGATAGACAGGCCCTGCATCTGTGCTGAGCAGGAGGAGGGGGAGCCACCCCAGTGAGCGTGACTGAGGAGGATCCCTGCAGGGGGACGAGGGAGGTTGGGGGCGTGGGTGACCAAGCTGTGAGGCCCATCAGAGTCAAGCCCCCACCAAACAGACCCCTGGCAGGTCCACACCCGAGGGGGTGCGAGAAGAGGATCCCTGGGGTCCCCAGGAAACTCGCAGGGCGTGGTCTGCGTGTGGCCTACAGGCAATAGGATGTGTGTGGCCTGGGGGCGTCCTCACCCCCCGACCCGGTGGAGAGATTCCCAAGTGTTCAACAAAATCCTCCTAGGCAGAGCTGCAGCTGGTCGAGGGGCTCACCCCGGCCCTCCAGTGTCTCCCCACTGTGCCCACGTCACTGCCGTGGGCCGCGGAGGTCAGGGACCGGGGCGCCTCTGCGTCCATGCCCCCAGGCCCAGCCGGGGCCAACCCAGAGCCAGTGCCCAGGACACGCATGTGGAATGAATGTGACAGGGACCCAGAAGCTCGTCCTAACTCGCCTGTGGCCTTGGCGGCTGGCTCTTCTAGTGGAGGCTCGGCTTCCTCAGCTTTGTAAGCAGATGCTACCCCTTTCCTTCCAGGGTAGACGTGAGGACTGAGTGAGAAATGCACGGGAAGTTTAGAGCCCTCGGGGCCCCAGTTTCTCACCTGTGAAAGGAGTGACAGGATCCAGCGTGGTCCAGGGCATGCCGTGGCATCCCAGGATCGCAGAGCTGGGGCCTGGCCCAGATCCCAGGCAGCAGGGCCAGGGCTGAGCCCCACAGCCCAGAGCCAGGCGCCACCCCAGCGGCCATGCCCAGGGTGGCTGAGCCTCTCCACCAGCTGTTTCCCACATTAGCCGCCCCTCCCAGGAGGGCCTCCAGCGCTGGAAGAGTGGCAAAGAGACGGCCCAGAAGTTTCCAGGCATGCATATCCTGGCTGCAGGTGGCCAGCAGCGAGGGTATGGGGCTGTGCTGGAGGCCAACGGCTTTGCAACCATGCCCCCTGGTGACCTCTGGGCTGGCCGCCCTCGGGCTCTGGCAGGCTTGGCCGGACTGGCCCTGTGTGGCAGGTAGGGTAGCAGTCGATGCTGTAGGGCTGGGCCGGGCCAGAGGTGGACGGGCTCAAATGGTTCCAAGCCAGAAACCTTCTCCTTACCCCCGTGCCTTCCCCCACTGTCCGAAGACAAACTTGCACCCATTGACCCTGAGATGGGTTGCCAGCCCCGTGGGAAATCTTTCTGTTCCTGTGTTTTACGAAGGAGGAGGCTCTGGGGTCTCCTTTTGACTCTTGCTGGAGGAAGGGTGGGGTGGGAGAGCAGCGGGCATCCCGAGCAGGTGGCCCTGAGTTTCAAGTGCTTCAGTGGGAAAACCAGGTGAAGGGTGTGGTGTGGTCTGAAGGCTATGGGGTCGCTGGACGAATGGAGGCAGCCCAGGTAGGCGGGGGCCCCTGGCTGCCTGCAGGACCACTCTGAGACCCCCCTTGCTCCATCTCGAGGGGTTCTTCACGCAGGGTGGGGCTCTCTCCCTCCCAGAGGTCTTGGCAGCAGGAGCCCAGGTTGCACAGGGCAAGACTCCAAAGGCCTCCAGGGCCGCCAGACCGAAGGATCCAAATAGCCCCTGCCGTGCCGGCCACAGCCCTTGGCTGCCATCCCACAGCCTTCAGGACAGACCTGGCTGACACAGCCTGCCACTGAGCTTTTCTCACGCCTATCCCTGTCCCAGTCCACAGCCTCGAGCTTCCTGCCAACCTGTCCGCACTATCCAGTTATCTCGTACTTGCCCCTTCTTGGCCTGACTCTTGTCGTCCTGACTCTGGGGAGACCCAGGTTGGGTCAGGAGCCACCTGGGGGGCCCCGGAGCCCTGGGCCTCCCTCTGCCACAGCCTCTGTCCCGCCGGGGTCACGTCCAGCTTCTGGCTTCTCCTGTCTCTGTCCTGCATGCATGGATGCCGGGCCTCCGGTGCTTTGGAGATTCTTTGTGCTTCACTAAGGAACAGACTGGAAGGTCTTGTTGATGACGATGAGTGTGGTGTCGGAGGCAAGCCCATCCGGTCACCGCCTTAGCACCTGCCACCCCTCTGCAAGCCTGAGGAATTTTCACCCATCTTTTCCTCTCTCTGCTCCCTTCGTCCCGCTCCTGGACAGGTTGGCGGGAAGCTCAGGGTTCTACAAGACCAAGATGTTCCAAAGCGGACTAACCAGTCAGTCATGGGGGCGGAGCTTGAGGTGGGAAAAGCACAGCCCTGCTCAGAGTTTTGACAGAGGATTTCAGCTGGATCTTTCTTCCTGAGCGGTTTCCTGATTTTCACATGCTCATGCTCCTACAGAAAATGCGGAAGTTATCGGAAAGGGCGAAGAAACAGAAGAAGCGCTCATAATCCCGCTGCCCGCAGCTGACCGCCATGGTGGTCTGGCGCGTGGCACGCAGCCTTTTCCAGACATCGCTTAGAGCCGAGATCGCCACGTGATTCCCGTGGTTTCCACTGAACAACACACCCTAGGCGGAATCCCGCGGACGCCTGTGAGTGGCTGCATCCCGCTCTGCTGTGGGGATACAGTAATGATTGACCAGCTTCCTGCTGTCCGCTGACTCGTCCACTTCTCTCTCTTTCCCGCCTTCCTCTCCCTGCATGTGTGTGAGCCAATACTTTTGCTGACATTTCTCATTATTCCTTTGGGGTGCTTGCCTGGAAAGCAGATGACTGGAGGCAGCATCCTGGTGGATCTGAGTACACATTTGCTGTGTACGCACCCCCGAGCCTCCGGTCTCAGATCTCGCTGGCTGGGCTGCCCCCCTCTCCCTGGGTTTGAGAACCTGTGGTCTCATCAATAGAATACCAGTTACTATCCTTACCTTTGAATCTCATCCCTGATGAAAAATTTAAACCCTCTGCAGGGTGGCATGCAGGGTCTGATCCATTTATCTTCCAATCTTAGGGGGAAAAAATTAAAATGTTAAATATTTTCAGCACGTTAAAAAAGTACCCCCAAAATAAGGGTGTGGCCCCCACTAGGGCCCTCCTGCTCGTTCTCGCTGGGATGCGCATTTCCATGGCAAAGCTCAGCACTGGTTCCGGGAAGGTCCCGCCCCTGCTCAGTAACACTGAATGCTGCCACATTGCCCCCAAATTCTTCATTGGCCGCTGGATGCCCACTGGAAGCCCTTCCGAATCCCGCCCCAGCCACGTGTGCTGGCTCCTTCTGCTGCTGTGACCATGGATGCCCACACCTACATGCCTGGAATACTTGCTCCGCACAGCCCCCTCGGGCTTCCTGGATCCGTCAGCCTGGAGACCAAGGCCTCTTCCTCCGCACGCTCGCCGAGACTGCTGTTCCAGCCCCAATCCAGTCCTGGGCTTGCATGAGGCTGCTTCTGCTGCTGAGTCAGAGCCAAGTGCTCTGTACTGTCTCCTCGTAGGAGAAATTGAGGCAGGAATACTCATCCCCGGGGGGCTGTGGTGGGAAATAAATACGGTTAAATGAGATAAGCTCAATCATGAAATATGCTTAAAATTAAGTAAAATTCAATACACTCAGTTAATACTTGTTCTTTTCTCTCCTTACACATATTTTTCCCCTCCCTGAGTGCACATAACAAACTTCCAGTGCAAGTTTGTGGAAATGAGTTGGTTCACAAGTGACAGTATTTCATTACAATAGATACAATTCATTTGTCTTAAAAAATCAGATCATTGGGGAACCTACCTGGCTCAGTGGGTTGAGCATCCACCTCTTGATTTCGGCTAGGCCATGATCTCAGGGTTGTGGGATCGAGCCCTGAGTCAGGCTCCCTGCTCAGCGGGGAGTCTGCTTGTCTCCCTCGCCCTCTCCCTCTGCCCCCACTCACTCTCTCTCTCTCAAATAAATAAGTAAAATCTTAAAAAAAATAAGATCATTATTTCTTATAGGAGGTCAGTGAGCTTATGTTTCAGATCTTATGTTGTCCGATCTCCCTGCTCATCAAAGTGTGAGCATCAAAGCTTGTTAGTCTCTGCAGTCTGTGTCCTGTTTGGCACAATCCCCTATGCATGCCGGGCACCAGAACTGTTTGTGGGTGAACAGATGGCCTGTCTTTACATAACGCTGACCGGCAAAGCTTTCCTGCGCTCATGTCTTGGAATGATGCTCTTGTCCCTGCAAGCGACCTGCCTGGAATCTGTCTCCGTGGAGACGTTCAGAGGGTTCAGGAGCTGCTGTCACTGGCTGGATCAAAGTCTCCCCATGAAGCATCTAATGCTTCCACTGATCCGCCGATCCACAGATGGCCACTCAGGAGCCTTGGCGGGACTGGGGGAGCCCCTGCGGCCATGCTGTCCTGGCCACCTTCACTGTGCCCGCCGACCCCTGGAGTTGTAGAGCTGCCTACTCTTCTCTGGAAAGTCAGGAGGGACGGCTTTGACATTATGGTTCTGGTTTTAGACAAGGTCTGATCTGATGAGAATTTCTCTTGGATCTGAAAGCATTTAGTGGGAGAGAGAGTGAGAGAGGAAGCTGCTGCGTTTAGAGGATGGAGACTGGTCTTGGCCTCTCTGTAGGAGGCCATGTGGAGGGCTGACAGGACATTGGGTGGGAGCCAGAAGGACCGAGTTTGATTCCCAGAGCCCCTGGTTTCTAGTTCTGTGACCTTGGAAGAGATACTTGACTTATCTGAGCTGCCCTGTCCCCAACTATAAAATGGAGTCATGATAAAGGCAGACATCTCTGACTACTCACTGTGTGCCTGGCACTATTTGAAGCTCTCTATGTATATTTATTAGTTTAATCCTAATTGCAACCATGTAAGGCAGGTGCAATTGATAGTTATTAGTATCCCTGTTACACATAGTAGAAAAGGAGACCCAAGAGGTGACTTGCCCAAGGCCATGTGGCTGGGGTGATGGAACCAGTGCAGGTTGTCCCCTCATTCCCCCAGCCACCTGCATTCTCTTCAGTCCTTTTAGCACTGGCACCAGGGAGACCCCCATGAAGGCGAGCCACCTCCCCACTAGCCATCCTCTGTCCCTGGGAGAGGGCTAGGCTTGCAGGACCTCTGGGTGAGAGCAGGTGAGTGGGGCCGGGGAAAGATGGGGTGAGGGTCTGCCTTCTGGCTCCTTTTATGTAGGGGCTGCCAAAAAGAGAAAGTGCCAAAAAAACTTCCTGGAATCTGGCAGCTTCCAATTGCCCTCCCTCCATTCTTGTCCTGACAACTGTTCACTGAAGGGATTGGAAGATTCCTACAGGTTCAGGAGCCCAGGGGGCAGGAGAGGAGGAGAGAGAGACAGACCCCCTTTCCCAGGGACTCCAAGAGCCACCTGGAGAGGCAGAGCTCAGCTCCAAAGGGAGTTCCATATTACACCAAGCAGGGAACCACGCCTCTCAGCCTCTCCCTCTTTCCTTCTCTCTTCCTCTTTGCTTTTCTCTCCCTTACCCCTTCTTCTTCCTTTCCTCTTTACTTTTCCTTCTTCATCTCCTTCCTTCCCTCATTTCTCCTCTCATTTCCACTTCTTGCTGCCCTTCTTGGTTCAACAAACATAGATCCACTCCCTGGCCCTGAGCTGGGGCTGGGAAGAGGACTGCCATCCAGGCGCCCTGATGCTTTCTTCCTCTAGCTCCCTCTGCCCATCCAGCACAGCTCCCTGCCCCTCAGTCTCCTGGTTCCCTGCTTCCACTCGCCCCCATACCGCTGGGTCACTCCAGTTTGGTGCCAGCGCAGGAGAGGGGGAGGTGCTCGGAAAGGGTCAACACAACCGGGGAGAAGCAGATAGCTTTTTAGCATCCCACGGCCTGTGAGTCACCGCCAGGAGGCTCTGGAGTAGGAGGTGTGACCATTGTAAGGACCGTCCTGGTCTGGGGCAGAACGCATGGAGCTCCTTCCAGCCGCTGCACGTGGAGGGAAGAAAAGACAAGGCGACTGCAGAGACCACCGTGACTCCAGCTCCCCTCACCCTCCCGCCTAGATTCAGCCGCCGGCCAGGGCCGCAAACGCCTTGGCGCGGGGCGCGGGGCGCGGGGCCCGCGAGCGCGTTCAGCACCCTGGACAGCGCCGCAGGAGGTGACCCGTGCGGCCGCGTCGCGCTCCGCCCGCCCGCGACCGCTCCCAGTTCCGCAGCGCAGCGCGCTTGGCCCGCCACCGGGGACCCAGAGCTTGCCACCGCTTTCCGCGCGCCGCTCCGAGCCGTGGCGTCGGCTCTGGCTCTCCGGGACTCCCAGAGCGCGCCCGTCCGCCGCGCCACTTTCCCCGCCTGCGGCCCGAGCGGAACCATGAGCGCGGGCCCCTGCCGCCGCTGTTCGGCGGGGCGTAGGGCCAGCCGCTAGCGCCATGGGCCCGGGAGAGGCGCTGCTGGCCGTGTCGCTGCTGTCCAGCGCGCTGGTGCTGCTCTGCGGCGCCTAGACAGCCGAGCGGCGTGCGCGCCCTGCGCGCTTTCCCGGTGAACCTGTCCCTGGGCTGCCCGCTGCCGGCGGCGCTAGGCATGCCCTTCATGTTGCTCGGGCAAGCTGCGCGGGCGGCCGCCATCTGGGCCCAGCGTGTACCAGGCCGCAGGCTTCCTGGACACCTTCCTGGAGTCCAACTCTGTACTTAGCAGGGCGGCGCTGAATGCAGACCGGTGGCTGGCGGTGGGTTTCCCACTCCACCATGTTTGCCCGGATGGCCTAGGTGTGGGGACAGTCATTGGTCTTCTGCGCTCTCCTGCTCATGGCTCCCCTGTAGAGCCATACGGGTCCTGCTTGCTTCCCCTGCCGGCGCCCCGCCGAGCTCCACGCTGCTGGCTTTGCACTGCTGTTCCCTGTGCTCGGCCTCCCCTGGCTCAAGATGCTATGGGTGGCCCAGAGCCACTGCCGGCACTTTGATGTTGACACCATGCAGGGGCTTGTGCTGCTCATGCACCTGCATCCCAGGTAGTCGGCCACGAGTCCCCACCCAGCCCAGAGGGCTGCACCCACTCCTGCGCTCCCCACTGGCGGCTGGTTCCTGAGCCAGCCGCAGGCACCAGCACCTGCCCCAGGGGTTCCCTCGCTGTGTGGCTTCCCCTGCACGCAGCTCCCAGGTTTCTGCATCTGCTTGTTTGTACGCTCAGTGAGTCCACACACTGGAAGGGCCAGGTGCTTCTTAGTGTCTGCGTTTGCCTGTGGAGTATGTGCCCACAGTGAGCTTTTGCACAAGCTGTGAGGTCTGAGCCACCAGAGAACGGTGGCGCCCCCCCCCCCACCGTGGGAAGAGTCCGTCACTCCTCTTCCAGGCAGGTGGTGTGGATCTGAACACTCCTTCCAGTTTCTGCCCTGCTCCCCCAGTGCCCTTGTCTGATCTGAGGTCTCAGGTCTTGGGGAGGGTCTGCCGGGTTCTGTCTGCTCCCCACTTGGCATGCATTTGCCCACGGAATCTCTAGCTGGTGTCCCTGCTACCCATTGCCCCTCCTCCCAACTCCCCTCCCCCGATATCTGCCTCTGCCCCGCCCCCAGGAGCTCGTCCCCACCCCTCACGTGCCCTGACTTGTGTCCTCTGTTCTGTCCCCCCAACGCTGCCTCAGTGAGCAGAAGCACCATGGCTGGTGGCTGCCAGGCAGATCGGCATCTTCATCGGGTCCTTCGTCATCTGCTTAGCCGCATACATTGTGACTAGGTGGGCCTGGCCCTCAGACCCCTGTCCTGGGAGCTGCTGAGATGTGGGCTTGGCCTCAGCCAGGCAGGCAGGCAGGCAGGCCTCTGAGGTCTCCCTGCTGGGGACCTGGAGGGAAGTCCTTCCTCGACACCTGAGGCAGCTGGGGCCTCACCCCAGCTCTTGTCAAAGGCCCTAGGACAGACACAGCACTGGCCCCACACCCTTGCTATAAATGAGAAAGCTGTCCCTGTCCAGGGAGACAGGCTGGGCCAGGCAGGCGCGGGGTCTGTCTGAGCTGGCATCTGACTCTTTCCAATCTTAGGAAGCCTTTAAAACCATTTAGTGGTCTGGGATCAACCCCGGCCTCAGACTCAGCATCCCCTGGGCATGGATTCGGGGATCCTGCGGCCAGTCCCGGCCAAGGCCACTGTCACACTCACCCAGAGCTCTTCCTCCCCTCCCTTTCCCTGGAGACCCTGGCCTGGAGCTGGTAGGAGACTGGGGGAGACCGCATGTAAGGGGCCCAGTGGCTGTCACGGTCACAGTCCTGTGGTGAGAGCAGCTGGCTCTATATTCCTGACGCGGGATTCCTGGGATTCTCATTCCGTGGCCAGGCCCCTGCTGTGGTCAGCCTCCCTGGGTGGTCCCCACATCCCATCTTGGGCCGAGGCAGAAGGACACCCTGAGGGAAGTGGCTCCTGGAAGGAGCTGATGGTTCTCAGCCTCTGGCCCAGGCTGCCTACCCAAGGGCCAGAGGGGGCACTGGGCAGGGTGCCAGACTCCTGAGTTTGTTCCAGCAAGCATCTCCTGGAGGCTCTAGGATGCACTGGGAGGTCGACTTGTCTGTTCAGGCTGTCTACCTCCTCAGGTCATTTGGTTTGTTAAGCGTGATAGGGAGGGCACCCATGGTTCCCACGGGTTGGGGGAGGCTTCTGGAGCGTCTGTGCCAAATGAAGTGGGCTCTGTCCACCCTGTCAAGCTCCTTTGGAATCAATGCTCAGGATGTGAGTCACATGGCTCTTGGCCACCCACCTATCTGGCCCCGGGACAGGGTGGATTTCTCATGGATCACAGGCATCATTGTGCTTCTTCACACGAAACCTGGCCGGTGTCTCATGTTCTTAAACTGCATGTGTGCAGTCATGGGCAGGGCCAACCGTGGCGTTGTCCCATGAGCCAGCAATCTCATCTGGTATGGTGTCTGTGTGCACATGCGTGTACACATGTGAGTGTGTGTGTGTGTGTGTGTGCAGGGGTGGGTGCTGGAGTTTCAAGAGCTCCCTCATGTGACCCGGCTTCAGTATTTGCTTTTGAAATTGTAAATGAATAACGAGGGAGCCTGGGTTACTCAACCACAGTATGTTGATCGCTAGCTTTTACTTTTATGTCATTTAGGTGTGCAAGGACCCGTGTGTGTATATGTGAGCGTGCATGTGCACACGCATGCACACACGTGTGTGGCAGGAGAGCAGAGCCTTAGTGCATTCATTGGCAGCCCAGTTTCCACTGTGTGCACTCGGTGACAGACTGCTCACGCTCTCTTCTCTGTGACGCATGTCACCAAACCCTTTGTGGGAACTGTGGATAAGATAACATAGAGCCTCTTATGATTGTCATGAGTGCTCACGAGGCGGTGCATCTTCTTCGCTCACTCACCATTTGCTGAGCGCCTCCTGCGTGCTGGGCTTTGTGCTGGGTTCCAGGTGAGTCCTGCCTCGCTGGGCTCTTTGTCCTGATGGCAGAAGATGCAGGTCAACAGGGGCAGGCAGGTGTCTCCAGTGAGGGAGGGGTATTGAAGGATTGAATTTGGGAGCAGTACCCTGGCTCTGTGTTCATCTGCACCCCCACCCCACCCCAGACTGCACACCTGGGACCTTAATCCACTCTGGCATGTGAATCAATAAAACCCCAGGGCGATACCCAAGAAACGGAAAGGGAAAATCACCGTGTCCCCAGCTCCTTTACCTTCTTCATCCACACCACCACTGCTGGGCTCAAGGTGACTCTGTGATATTTCTAAGCAGGTTAAATCCACCTTCAAGGTGTCCACAGAAGAATCTAACAATGCATCACGGTTCTGAAAACAATTCCCCAGAGAAGATCTCTAACATAGTTGTAGCAATTACAAAATGACCAGGACAAATGCACCACCTTGCAGGGGGAGAGAGACTCTTTCGGGAGGAACAGCACACCCCTCCGTATATGAATGCTTACGGGTTAAACCACCCGCCACATTAGAATCTCATCCACGCACGTGGCCGTGAGGCTCTGATTTCGTTCCTGCTTCTGACGTGGGGGGTACCAGCCAGGCAGCAATTTCCACACACTAACCCGGCTGTGCTATTCCCAAGCTCAGTCCCCCGATGCCCTTCACTGGAGACATGAGCCTAAGGCTCGGAGAGCGTGCACAGAGCCACTCAGCTTGTAACGGCAAGGCTGTCGCCTGTACTCTCTGTGGTTCTAGAACCTCCCAAACCTCTAGGGCACGGGCGTGTACGTGGGCGTGGTCACTGCCACTGAACCACCTGCTCAGCTCCCGGACAGGCTAGTGAAGTCTGTGTCCTTCGTCACTGTTAGCCCTCCCTGGGGCATCCTGAGCAAGTACCTGAGCTACGGCTGGGCCGTGGCCGACCCCTGCGTGGCCTTCCCCCAGGTCCTGGCCGGCATCCAAATCGGCTCCTGAGAGTGGGGCTGCCCCCCATGGCAGCGACTCTGCTCAGCACTGCAGGGAGCCGAGAGAGGCTGGGGCTTCCCTCGGGCTGGCAGTGGGGTGGGGCATTCCCGGTTATGGCCACTAAATGGGCCCACGGGGCAGTGTCCGGGACCCGTGTGCACATCTGTTACAGTCCACGGTTCAAAACTAGAATGGTGCGCAGCGTGTTGTAAGCCCTCTGTAAGGGTGTGTTGTGTGAGGGGTGAATGGACACAGTTCCCTCTCCATTGCTGTTTGCTCGCCTCTTCGGGCTCCAACCGTCCCCTGCGGAACTGGGGCTGGGCTGCAGGATGCGGGACCCAACACGTGGTAGGATGGACTCTCGGGGAGGGCCTTGCCCGTGGGCGGCTGCAGAGCCCACAGTGCTGGTCCCCCAGCCGAGGTCCTGAGTCCCTTCCTTGTAGATACACAAACACAGAGCTCCTTGGGGCCCATCAGGGCATCAGGGACAGTTTACAGCCTGCTGGAGCCAGCTGGACAGGTTCTTCCCAACCCCTGTGGTATCATTTGGTGGCTTTGGGCTGATTCTCCAATGTCTCCCCGCAAGCAGGATATATTTAAGTGCTTATAAATTGTAAAGCACAATTCAAAGAAAACAAATTATTTTTAGGAATGATAATAACTAGATCTGCGGTCGGGAAGAAGTTAAAAACAACAGAAAAACCACCCAGGCAGTTCGAGGAAAGCCACGTTCCAGCTTTGGGCTGGCCATTGCAGGTGTGAGGGGGTTCACAGGCGGCACGTGGCCCTAGAGCCTGGGGTCCCATGGGCACCCCAGTGCTTGCAAAGGAAGTTTCGTCTCTGTTGTCTTGCATGAAACTCAGAGCCAGGCTGTGAACTCGCAGGCTGAACCCTCTCTCCTTCCTGGGAACTTCTCTTGGGGCGAGAAGAAGCCTTACATCCATGCGAGGAAATATGTGTATCCTGTCCCCTGGAAAATGCCACAGCTAGGAAGAGACAACACGCATCGCAGGCGGTGACCGCTTCTCTCCTGTTCTGCCTTCCCTGAAGCCACCAGGGGATTTTCTAGAAGACCACTCAAGGCACAGGTGCCTCCCGGGTGAAGGCCACTAGTTGTGTCCATGCTGGGCATTCTAGAACATTCTCTCACTCGCTGTGTTATCTTTCACCTTGGGTTTGTGGTCTTTTTTATTTTGAAAGATCCTTTTCATGTGCACTTAAATGTATTGCAAATGGTGTCATGTCCCAAGTGCTGTGAGAATCAATAAACATTTTATTCAAAGGTCTCTTGTTTCTCTGCAAAGGAGAAGGTACTGCCTTTGCATCAGCCCGAAGCCAGCTACCGGGGAAGTGGGTCCCTGCTGGGCTTCCGAGAAGAGTGGGACTAGACTTGCCCCGTCGGGGCTCAGTCCTGCAAACTTTGTGCTTTCCCAGGGCACGCAGCACAGCACACGCTCTGCCGGGGGGCGGGGGGGGTCCCTAGCTCCCATCTGGTTCCCAGAGGGCCTGAGACCCCACAGGGCAGGAACCACTCCCCACTGCGCAGGGCTGGCAACTCCAGGCCGGGCTGGGGCTTCGTGATGAGACTGTCTCCCCAGCGCCCAGCAGAGGCAGCACCGAGCTGGTTCCGGAGAGCTCTCTGGATGAGTTAGACCCGCTAAGTTCAGGGAGGCGAGGGCTGTCCCAGAGGAAGCTTGGGGAGGGGTGGGGTCTGGGTGCTGCACCCAGGAGCCTTGACCCTTCAGCTGGGCACCAAAGGAGGGGTGGACTTCCCCCATCACCGTGAGCCCTGAGATGGGCAACAGCATCTTCTCAGTGGAGGGCCCCAGGCTCACTGAAGTAAGCCACTGGCTCAGGGTGAGCCACCTGGTGAAGCGACCCATACGGGATGGCAGAGTCTGTGTTCTCTCCGTGACACCACGAGGCTTCTCCCGCAGCAGCTTGTCCTGTCCCTCCACTGCCCGCCTGAGCATCTGAGCTCTTGCAGGCTCAGGCTCTGGCTGCATCCTGCTGGTTCACCTTGTCCCATCCTGATGGTTCAGGTCTGGCCACATGCTGCCCCGCCCCTCTTGGCCAATTATCCCATGGGCGGCTGGGCAGAGCAGGGAAGGGGGAGGACTTACACAGCTCTTGGCCCTGGGAAAGGGTTAACCTGCCTGGACTTGCCCCTGCCAAAACACTTGGTGGGGTGTCCTCATCCTCTCTTGGACAAGAAGACGTGGGTTAGAGACAGTTCCTTCCAACTTAATTGGGGAGGAAAGAGGTAGGTCCCAGAGCAGATTACCAAATTCTACCCACTGGGTCCTTAAAATAGCAATAGCTAACATGACCCTTTCTCTTTCCCAAATCTTAGATGCCACTGGTTTGAAACAGTATCATTATTCCATATACCACTCAGACAAAAAAACAAACCCACAATGAAGGCTGTAATAGGAGATGCCCACACAAATCTGGCCATGTATGGGCTGCAGGCTCAGTGTCCGTGAGAACCTAACCTGCCTGCGAGACGGGACAGCAAGGAGACTCACATGTTTCCCCTGGCACACGGGGTGGAGGGTGAAAACCTCCCCGAGAATGTGCACCCATCAGCTGGCACTCAGGAAGGGTGGGGTCTGAATTCACCCTCCCAGCTTGGAGCGGAGACCCCAGACAGGAAAGTCAAAGGAAAGTGCCCGGGCTGGAGCAAGCCCAGAGACTTCTGGAAGGACTAGCTGCGGTCTGGGTGGAAGAGGGCGGCATGGGACATCGGATGCCGAAAAGGGCAACTAGAGTCAATGGGCTGGAGTAAGTGGCTCGTTCTCGGGGCCAGGAATGGATTGAGGCCCTTGTCCGATGTTTGCCCCACTGCAGACACTGTCACGATAATCCCAGACCCCAGGTTAAGGGGCTTGTCCAAAGTCTTAGGGCGGAGTGGCATCTGGCTGTAGGGTCGGTCCTCCCCACCACCCAGGACAGTTGGTAAAGGAGTCCCATAAAGGCACATGGATGCTAAAGACCGTCTGGGTGGATGGCCTAGCAGGGGAGGGACTGGCCCAGGTGACTGCTGGGATGTGGACCCAGGTGTCTAGCTGGCATTGTCCCCAGGGCCCAGGGCGCGAGCACACCAGGGGCTGGACTGCAGCTGTGGGCTGTGACAAGTGGCTGGCCGGCAGATGTGGGCACATCTGGACGGCAGAGTCAGCACCTGCTGAGCTCCATGAAGGGGGGGCTTCAAAGGCGTTGGCTAAATCCCCAAACAGTCCTGGTCCTGGGAACAGAGAGAGGCTCTGGGCAGACAGTGAGCGGGGGGCTCTGGGGCCACACTTCCCTCACCTTGGGCCCAGGGTCCTGGGCTTCCCTCCTCCCAGGCCCCTCGAATTCCTGCCCAGATGGCTGTGGGCGATGCAGGCAGGGGCTGGGGAGGGCGGGAAGGAGTCCTCCCACACCCCCAGCAGGCAGGTCATGGAGGCGGGGCTGTCTGCCCTGGACTGCCCGCCCCTGCCCCCACATTGCCTTTGCCCCCTCATCTAGAGAAGAGGGGGGCTCACCCCTGCGATATTTTATGTCACCGCTGGGTTGGTCTGTTGCCCCCTTTGATGAGCTGAGTGACGGCCTGCCACATTTCACTGAGGACCCTGGCGCCAGGCTCCCTGCCCGGATCTGCGGGAGCAACCAGGAGGGGGCTTCTCCTCAGGGCGCAGAGGGAGACCCTGCTCAGGGGTGAGGAGCCGCCAAGGACATCCAGAGCCGCCTGCCCTTCCTGGTACCTAAACGTCCCGCACAGACAATTCTCCTACACCCACGCCCTGCTCCGTGGGGGGATGGGGTCCCTCCCTCCTCCCTCCTGGGACAGAGGAGTGACTTGGCCCCGTTCACTGCCCGCTGGGGCGAGCACGAGGGCCAGGGCCCACCTGGCCCCCAGACCCGCCCTGCCCAGAAAGAGGGGTCTTTCGGCAGCATCAGCAGGGGCCTCGGAGGTCAGCTCCCAGGGGCCTGGGTGCCAGAAGGGAGACGGAGCCCCAGTGGGGGCGCCGGGCCCGGGGGGCGGGCCCTGGGCCGGAAGCGGGCAGCTCGGCTCGGTCCCTCCCGCCCGCACCCCTCCGCGCGGAGTCTGGGCTGCGCTGTAACCCGACTCCGCGCTCCGCTCCTGGGGGGCGGGAGCCCAGCGGCCTTGGCCCCGCGGCCCGAGCGCCGAGTGCCACATCACTGCGCCGCCGCCGCCCGCCCGCCGCCCACCATGCGGCCCCCGCCGCCGCCCTTGCTGCTACTCGCCGCGCTGGCCGCCGCCGCCGCCGGGCCGGGGTGCCCGCTCGCCCGGGGACCCGCCGGTAAGGCCCACCACCGCGCGCCCCGGGCCGGGGACGGGCCCCCTCCCCCGCCCCAGCGACCCCTGGCCCCGAGCGCGTCCCCAAGCGCGTGCCAGTGACCTTGGAACTCGTGGTCCGCTGGGAGGGGGGCACTGGGCTCTCGGGGTACAGGGAGGCTGGACCCCAGGGCGGAGCGCAGCAGGTAGCTGGGCAGCAGAGGGGCACCGAGCCCTGCGCAGGGGAGTCCTCCTCGGGGCAGGGCACAGCGGGTGGGGCGCCCTGCCGGTGGGGACCGAGGGAGCAGGTGCCAGGACTTCGCAGGGGACAGGCCGTCCGGGGTCCCTGTTCCTCCCAGGAAGGGGGCAGCCTGTGGGCGGCAGCAAACGCTTGACCCCTCCCTGCCACCTCAGGCCAGTGATGTGGACAGCGGTATCTCCAGCAATGGGCTCTGAGAGCCTGGGAGGGGCACGTCCCCTGGGAGGGGGCGTGGTCGCCTGGGGAGGGAGTGGGTGTGCCTGGAGGGCTCTGGGACAGGGGGACGGGGTGCGTCTGCCTGTGTGATCTCACCTGCGAGTGTGGGGTGAGGGGTGGAGGCAGGGACCTGGGGTCCTGGGCTCTGGCCCCTCCTGGAGCGGGCTTCAGTTTCCCCTCATATTCAGAGTTGGAGGTGCATCTAGTTCCCTGTCCTCAGGGTCCTTATCAGCGGCAGACATCTCTGTCCTCTTGGGCACAGGAGTCTGGGCATCTCTCGAGGGCCGGGGTTTGTGGATACCCGAGAAGGTGCTGGCACAGCCAAGTCCATGTGCCAGGAGCAAAATGCCCCTCTCAAATGTGCCAATGCCAATCTTTCCTTTTCTTCCCTCTCCGTCTGAGTTTTCGCCAACCCCCCCGGCCCTCGCCCTCACCCCTTTCCTCCTCTCCATTGCTGCAGAAAGGCCCAGGCAGAGTGTGTGCATGTGTGTGTGTGCAAACGTGTGCACAGGTGTGCAGGCAGGATGTGGATAGGACTTGCACTGTGCCGTGGTTGGACTGTCCCCTGGACCTCCGAGACCCCAGGAAATGTCTAGAATCATAGGCTTGTTGGGGACCATGGCCCCCTCCTCCAAGAAGTCCTCCCTGACCTGTCCTTTTCCCAGGGAGAAGTGCAGCCCCCTCCTCTGGATGCCGGCACAGACCACTCCTTCCTCACTTTGAGGAATGGGGGGAGGTGGGGAGGGGAGCTCTGGCTGAAGCCCTGAGGCGGCACCGGTGACTGTTTCCAGGAGAAATCCTTGCTCCAGTCCGATCTTCACTCTGGACAGAGGACCATGTGTGCAGTCCTTGGAAGCCGAATGGCTTTTCCAGAAGGCAGGCTGGCGCGGGGCGGGGACCGGGCAGTTTGCGTCCAGGCTGCTCTACCTGATGCCTGTATCCGTGTCCCCACTGTACCCGTCCTGGAGCCTCAGAGCAAGCCTGGGCCCCTCCCCTCCGCCCTTGTCCCTTGCCTTATTCCAGGCCTCCACGGGGAGCCTGTGGGCTGAGGCAGTGTTCATGCTCCGAGGGGCCAGGGGGGTCTGGGTTCAAATCCTGAGTCCCCTTCTCTGCTGTGTAGCCTTGGGCAGATGGCCCAACCTCTCTGGCCTCATTCAGGTTTCTTGTCTGTTAGAAGAGTCCTTGGCCAGAAGCAACAACCTAACCTCCGCTGAAGAGGGAGGGAGGGAGGGAGCGGGGGAGCCGGCCAGCCCCAGGTCACTCTGGGTCCCTCGCTGAAGACGTGCTGACACCTTGTGGTCACTTAGTGGAACGGGCACGTGCGGGCTGCCGAGGAGCAGCCTTGGATGGGCGCCGTCTACACCCAAGGACGCCTGCCCCGTGATAATTTTGCATTTTCTAGTGGGCACACTAAAGAGGACGCGAGACGCAGGTGACATTCACCTGAACAACCAATTTTATTTAAGCCAGTATCTTGTTTCAGCGTGTTGTCATCCATCTAAAAACTACGAATGAGGTATTTTATGTTTTTTTTTTTACACCAAGCCTGAGATTTGGTGAGGATGTTGCCTGTGCCGCAGGTGTGGGCAGAGACTCGCCGCTTTGAGTGCTCAGTGCAGCCAGAGCGCCCGCTCCTCCCTTGACCCCACCCCAGCCCTGAGCTCCCCGAAGGCGCACACTGGGGCTGGCCTCTCGTCATGGGTGGAATTGTGTCCCCAGAAAGAAATGTTGGAGTCCCCACACCTGTGGCTGTGACTTTACTGGGAAGGGGGCTTCGCAGGCAGTCAGAGCATGAGGGAGCCACACCGGCTCGGGGCCGCCCTAAATCCAGCGACGGGTGTGCTTAGGAGAGGAACAAATTGGGACACAGACCCACCAGGAAGGGCAGGTGACGGTGGGGGTGCAGCCACAGGCCCAGGGTTGTCGGGAGCCCAGAGGCTGGGAGAGGCGGGGAGGACCCTCCCCCAGGTCCCACGGAAGGGTCCGGCCTGCCAGCCCCTGATTCCAGCGGTGCGGGACGTTCGGCGTCTGTCTACCAGCTTGCGGAGCTTTGTCATAGCGGCCCCAGGAAGCACGTCTCCCACCTGGCTGGCTCCCGCGCCCACGCCGGCAGGTGCCGCCCACACGTCCTGCCCACAAGCATGGGGGTCACGATGGGCAGCCCTCCTTCTGCCCGTGTGACCCAACTACCATCCGCGGAGCCCTTACTGGCCCCCCCACACGATGGGCTCTGTTGTCACCCCTTTGCACAAAAGAGGAAACTGAGGCCCGAATTTCAGTTTCTTCCTCTGCAGATCGAAGCCCCTCAAAACCAGGAGGGATCCCTTCACATCCACTCAAAATCCAGCCCCCTCGTGTGGCACCTGGTAACTTTGTGGGGGCAGATGTGGGGGTCGCTGGTCCACTCCCAGTTTCCTCGCTGCGTGTTTTCCTAAGGCCGCGGGGGTCCTGCGCCCCGGGAGTCCTTCCGCTCCCTGTGCGTGCCAAGAGTCTGAACAAGTCTGCAGACTCGCCCACTGCCGCTCGGCGCAGGCACGGCGGGTGCACTCCGGGCACACGGATGCAGGCGTGGGCAGAGGAGCCAGGGGCCCTTGAGGGTCCGTGAGGCCTCGGGCTCCTGAGCGGACCTTCTGAGTCACGGCATCTACCCCTGGGCGAGCTCACACGGGCAGGGAGTCGGCCGGGCACGCATCCCGGGGTACAGCAGTCAGCGTCGTGCACGGGACCCTGCACGGATCTGATGCTTTTACCCGTTCTCCTGGTGTTAACTCGATGCCTTTAGCTACAGAGACAGCCAGATAACCGCACACTGTCCCAAGCAGGGTCCTGGGTCGGTTTCCTCTTCTTTCCTTTTTTCCCTCAAGTATTGGTTCAGCCCGTCACGCCTCTCATTCTGCAGACGGCGGTGGGCACGGGTCAGGGAACATGTTAGACCACGAAGACTTTGGAGTGTCGGGTGGGTGCCCAGAAATGCCCTCCCCTGCCTGCTGAGGGGAGCAGGTGGTTTTTGCTGCTCGGGGTCCTCGAGCTCGCTCACCACCAGTGCACTGTTCCCAGCATGCGAAGTGGGCACGGTGGGCACCCTGCAGCCCTCTGCTGCATTAGAGCCAGCAAAATTTAGGAAAATTACTTAGGAAAATTACTTAAGGATAATTATTCTCTGGCCTGTTGCTTTTCCAAGTGGTGCCAGCCACTTAGGACAGCCTGGAACCCTTGTCTTAGGGGTGTTATAAAACAGGAGCGGTAACGGAGCTATTATTTATGGGCCACCTACCCCGAGCCACGTCCTGTGCTGGGCACTGAATGTGGGTCGTCCCACCGAACCTTCATGTTATTCCCACCACGTGATTATAGTAAACCCCACATGCAATGGGGAAAACAGAGTCCCCCTGCCGTAACCAAGGGCTGTCTAGGTCCAGTGCTGGGCATCTTCCCTGGCTCGCACTGGGCTCCCTCACCGTATTATTCGGACAAGGAGGGAGAGCGAGTCCCAGGGCAGCAGCCTGTTCCTGCAGAGTGTCTGCACACAGCCAAGCAAGCATTCACCTGGATCTCTCCGTCGCCAGTTTTGAGAGTGGAAACCAGGCGGCGAGGGGGTGCCTTGTAGTCCCCATCCCATGAGGGCGCTGGGAGCCGGTCTGCTGCGGGACTGGGGGCTGTGGTTGCCTCATCTGCAGAGGGCAAACCATGTGCAGAGGGTCCTGGAAGGGGGAGCTGCCTAGCCAGCCCTGCAGGACCAGAGCCCACTCCCACTCTGGGGGCTCCTGTTTGTTTGCTCAGGAAAGTTCTCACAGCGCCCAGATCTCATGGTGCATCGCCAGAAGCTCCCTCCCTTGGGGCTCGTGGGTCAGGTCTGGGTTTTGTGTGAGGTGACTGGATTAGAACACAGGCTTTTCCCTCTGTTTCAGCCTTCTTCTGGGCTCCCCCCTGCACCCCCTTCCCCCTTGTTTCCCACTCTTTCTGCCACCCCGCCTGCCTGTCCTCCCAGGACTCCTGCTGGGGCCAAGGCTCTAAACCTCATGCTGGTTTCCGTCCCTCTGAGTCAGCTCCTCCTTCTTGGAGCTCCCAGAGCGCCCGGACCTTCTGAAAGGTAACTTGCCGGGTGGCACTGAGTAAGGCTGGTTTTACTGGCTTTTCCCAGGGCTCTCACTGTTGGGTCTACCTGCGTGGGCCTCGAGGAGGGCCCTGGGAGCCCGTGGTTGCACGGATAGTTTTGCATGTTGGTCCTCTTCTCCCCGATTCAGGAGATGGTGGAACGCAACTCTTGCAGAGTATTCTGGAAGGGGTGGGGGGAGCCGGGGCCCATCCGACTCTCCAGGGACTTTGAATAACGTGAGGTCAGAGTTACTGGTGGGGATAGAGCCGTTAGGCTCGTTAAATATTGGGGAATTTTGCCAGAACTAGTTCAACTGCTAGAAGCTTGGAAAGGCCCCTGCATGGATGTTTACACCACGGTAATTGGCAAACACGGCGGGGCGGCCCCAGACTCTGGAGCCGGATGGATGCAGAGCATCCACCCTGCGCTCTGGCTGTCATTCCTTAGGCGAGTCATGGCACCTCTCCGGGTGCCAGGCTCCTCCCCTGCGGAGCGGGGAGAAGGCTTCCATCAACACCGGAGGGTTGGGGTGCAGCTCCCTGAGACAGAGCTGGTGGGGTGTTAGCCCAGGGCCGGGTGCGTGGCCAGCACTCGGGAGGTGCTGAGCTGCCCTCGGAAGCAGCCATCCACCACCGTTAGTGTGCGTTCCCCGGACGATGGGATGACCGCGGTCCACACCCCTAACAGCACTGTCCTTTCTCTTCCCAGGTGAATGCCACGGGCCGTGGGCTGCACACAGTGGTACGATGCATGGACTTCTCTCACGTTTGCTTTGTGGGAGTGATGCGGTCCCTCCGCGCCGTCGAGCTCTTTAGAGAGCTGAACCCACAGCTCCCAAGGGGTGATTAGTAACAAGGCCCAATACTCAAATCCAAACCCCTTCTTAAACAGCAGGAAATTAGACAAAACAAAAGAGGAAGGACCCTCTACTTGTGCAGCCTGGGCTTCCCACCCTGGCTCTGTCCCAGGCTCCCCCAGAAATGCTCCTTCCAAGCATCTCTGCTCCCCTCGTCCCCATGGCTGGTTGGGGTCCGACGTGGCCGCGTGTACACGGCATGTCCGCTCTTTATCCTGTGAGCTCCCTGAGTTTCGGCTGCGTGCGGGCACCTCCAGGCAAGGCCCTTCCCCTCTGTAACACGAAGCAGGGAAAGCCGATCTCAGGGGATGAGCTTGAAGATTAGGTGGGCTCTGACAGGTCTGACGAGCTCAGAAGCAGGTACTTCTTCTCAAGTCCCCTCCTGCCAGATTTGGGCATCTGGTGTGTTCTAAGTGGAGGGACTAGACTTTTTTGAAAAGCAGGGAATATTGTCTCAATGCAAAAGCCAACGACACATATAAAATATTTTGAGCAGAGAAATGCTGAGCAGAAATCACCCTGTCCTTTTAAACTTTGAAAAGTGGCAACATCTTGTCACTTGTACATGAGGGAGTTGCACCTGAGGGCACAGAGAGGGGCAGCTTGGGGATGACTGTGTACTTAGCTCCGTGCCGGAGAGGCCTGTGGGGCAGGCAAGGGCCCCCCGCCACACTGGGTTGGAGAGGTAGGAGTTAACGATCACACCAGAAAATGCCCAGTGACAGTAAAGTCCCTGGGCCCGGGACACCCACCCTTGTGAGATGCAGAGCTGGGTCAGGCCGGGCTGAGCCATGGCTGTCTTCACCAGCCCTGTCCTCAACGCCCTGAGCCTGAGCTAAGCACTCGGCGATCTGCCACTTTCCTGGAGACACGAGGCATTCCCAGCCGGGTGCATCTCTGGGGACTCGTTTACCTCGGGGCTGTGAGTTTGGGAGGGTCCGCACCTGCTTCTGCAAAACCAGGGTCTGCTGGCTTCCTTCATGTCCCCTGATGGGGCAGCCCCTCGGCGAGGCTGGCCTTCCCACGCCCGTTTTGCAGCTGTTGCAGTGGGGGCCCAGAGCGGCCTGCCCCGGCTCACTCCCCAGGCCGTAGTGGAGCCTCGTTAGTCCAGGGAGCCTTGTCTGGTCCCCCGCGGGCTCTGGCTTCCTCCCGGGAGCCCTGGTCGGGGCCCCATCCCTCTGGGCCCTGGCCCCGTGGGGCTCTGCCGGGGCAGGACGGATGACCGTGTGGGTCCCGGAGGCAGCGAGTGACCCGGTGACCCCACCTGCCCCCAGCCACGTGTGTGGACATGCCTCTCCGGACCTGCAGTGACGTGGCCTACAACCAGACGACCTTCCCCACCCTGCTGGAGCACCGGTCCCGGGAGGCGGTGGAGTCCAGCTCCGAGTACATCCTGCTGAGCGTCCTGCACCACCTGCTCGAGGGCCAGTGCAACCCCGACCTGCGGCTGCTGGGCTGCGCCGTGCTGGCCCCCCGCTGCGAGGGCGGCCGGGTGCGCAGGCCCTGCAGGCACGTGTGCGAGGGGCTGCGGGCGGCCTGCCGGCCCGCCTTCGACGCCATCGACATGGCCTGGCCCTACTTCCTCGACTGCGGCCGCTACTTCGCGAGCGTGGAGGAGGGCTGCTACGACCCCCTGGAGAAGCTGCGAGGTGCGTGGGGCCCTGGGGCCGCACGGTGCCCGGATGTTCGGAGAGGACGGCCGAGTCACGGTGGGCAAACGTGCCCCCGTGTGGAGGCCTCCGGCGCCGGTGCCCGGGCCAGCCGCGACTTGACTTAACTGCAGAGGGCCACGCGTGGCCGGTGTGGGCCGCCCCGGGCAGGGCAGGACCGCACGGTCCCCGCGGGGCCCGCACTCGCGTCACGCCGCTCGTGGTCCGGTCCCCGTGATCTGGCGCTGACGCCCCCCACGGATGGGAGCTGTTGGAGGACAGGGCGGCCGCTCTGGGAGGGCAAGTGGCAGCAGGAATGCCAGTGTCTGCCTGGCAGAGTCAGGCCACCGAGCGGTCTGTGCGGTCAGCAAACAGCCGCTGAGCGCCTGCTGTGTGCATGGCTCCGTGCTGGGGCCCTGAGGGCAGCGGAGCTCTGGGACCTGTCTGCTGGCCTCCCGGCTCGGGGCTGGTCCGGAGCTGGCGCTGGGCCCGAGGACCCTGCCACCCACAGGCCAGTGTGCAGGTGCTGCGGGCCCATGGGCGGCGCTCTGCCAGCAGATAGGAGCTGGGTGCGTGCAGAGGCAGGAGCCTGGGCCGCGGGCGCACCGGGAGAGGGCAGGGGTGCAGAGGAAGAGAACCAGACGTCCCCGTGGGGCCGAGCCCACCTGACCTGGGAAAGCCCTAGGGGGTGGCCCGAGAGAGATTATTTTGGGCAATTCTGCCACCAAATTGCTGGTTCCGTCTGCTTTCTTCCTCCCTCAAAACCGTTTTGAGCAGAAAGAAAACCACAGGCAAGTGAGAGGCTCAGGGAGAAGGATTAACTGTTCACCAGCCAGCGGGAGCTGTGCCTTCTGTCTGAGACCGGAGAGGGGCGGGTGCCTGTGTCCTAGTTGGAGGGACCGCGCCAGGCCTGGAAGATCAGGGTTTGTCCGAAGGAGACCTTTTAGAGGAGACCTTTAGGGTACGGGCCGAGGGCTTCCCTCCCTCCTCTCCCCTCCTCTCCCTCCACCCTCCCTTCCCCTCCCTCTCCCTCCTCCTCCCCACCTCCCACTGTCTCTCCCCTCCTTCCCCCCTTCCCCTCCCTCTCCCTTCTCCTCCCCACCTCCCACTGTCTCTCCCCTCCTTCCCCCCTTCCCCTCCCTCTCCCTTCTCCTCCCCACCTCCCACTGTCTCTCCCCTCCTTCCCCCCTTCCCCTCCCTCTCCCTTCTCCTCCCCGACCTCCCACTGTCTCTCCCCTCCTTCCCCTCCCTTCCCCTCCTCCTCCTCCTTTCCCCTTCCCCCTCCTATTCCCTCCTCTTCCCCCCTCTCCTTCCTCCTCCCCCTCCTTCCTCCTTCCCTTCCCCCCAGCTCCCCCATCCGTCCCCCCTCCCCGCCCCGCCCCGTGGGGCACCCTCACTGCTGTGTTGGTAATCACAGTCAACACTTGGTGTCATCGTGGCCGCGGTGGGCTGCACCCTAGGGAGCCCTTCAGAGCAGGGCTTGCCGGCTGACAAGGCATGGAAGCCGCCTCCACCATGCAGCAGTGTAGACAGATCAGGAACCTGCATCAGCACCATGATTACAGGCGTCAGCGGAAAACCAAACACACACAGTCAGGAGGCTGCCCGCCAAACGGGGGCTTCCCCCGGTTTCTGTGGGTATGTCCTCGCCTTCATAGTCTACTGCTTCGTATTTTGTACGTTCTCCGCAGTCACTGTGTCATTCTGCATCATCCTAACTTCAGGAACTGCGATGCTGTGTACATCCATCGGGTGCTATTATAGCTGCGGACGTGAAGTAGTATAAAGGGGATTTTAATGAAAAACAGAAACAGGTTGACTGGGGAGCCATTCCAGGAGGACCCCCAAGTTTCCGAGTGTGGCAAGGGAGGGAGTGTGAGGATGCTGGGGGTGGCCAGGGCCCCAGGGGTTGTAGGGGAGCTGGGCAGGGGCAGACAGAACCCCCATTGAGGGGTGTGGGTAGCCGCGCTGGTGGGTGAGCGCCGACCGAGGGCAGCTAGAGGCTCCCCCCAGCACCCCCATTCTTCCCCAGAAGGCCTGGACGTGGATGAGGCGCTGCCCTCGGGCCTGCCGCCGACCTTCATTCGCTTCACACACCACTCCTACGCCCAGATGGTGCGCGTGCTGAGGCGGACGGCGGCCCGCTGCGCCCCCATCGCCAAGACCTACAGCATCGGCCGGAGCTTCAACGGCAAGGAGCTGCTGGTCATTGAGTTCTCGGCCCGCCCTGGCCAGCACGAGCTGAGTAAGCTGCTGCTGCTGGCGGGGGCCCAAGGGAGAGGTCTGGGTGTGGGCCAGCTCCCAGGAAAGGGCTCTGGGCCTACTTGGCTTGGGGTGCACCAGCCTGGGTCCGGGGTCCTCGTCACGGCAGGGATGGGGGACAGGGAGCAGGCAGGGTTTGTGTTCGGCTTGGTGCCCTGGGGCGCATGGCCACATCCCGCGGGGCCTGCTGGGACTCAACGGGGAGATACGAGCTGGGGGCACCGTCTTGGGGAGCGTCACCTGCACAAGTCAGGGGGGAGAGAAGTGAGGGCTTTCCTGTGGCTGTAGGCATGTGGGCCCTTGTCCGTCTCTGGGGAAATGTAACCGTGCCCTGTGCATTCTGTCGTTTTTGCAACTTCTCCCTGGCACACTCGGACCCACTCAGGTATGTGCGCGCTTGGTCCTGGCCACTTCTCATTGGCTCATTGGAGCTGCTTGGTGAACATAATCTCACAGAATGATCTGAGGGAAGCACTTCTTGCATTTCAAAAACCAGGCCCATTTCAGCTCATCAGGCTAGGTGGTCCTGTTTTGAGATGGGGCAGAGCTACGTGGAAAATGCTAGGTTTTATTGTCTCTCCAGAGCTGTGTCGGTGCCGACAAAGCAGGAGGTCAGACTCCACTGCAGCCCCTGATTCACTGCCCTCTGTAGTGGGGGCGCCGAACAAAACTCACCATGAAGCTGGATCTCGGGGTGGGGGGCGGGGTCAGGGGGCTGACTCAAGAATTCAAGAGATTCTAGTAAAGATGTTTGGATAGAAGGATGGATGGGTGTCCCGTGCAATGAGCTGAAGACCACCATGAACCCCTCCAGGGCACTGAGGGCATCCGGGCACAGGGCCCCAGTTCTGGCCTCTGCCAGGAGCCCTTCCTTGGCTCCGTCCCTCACCTGGTCTATCCCCGTGATCATGGGAGGCACACGGGGTCAATCCAGAAGTCATTCGCATTGGACCCTTGGTTGTTTAATTACTGAAATATAAACCATCTGACGTTAAGTGGCTTTGGTACCTTTGCTGGGCTGGCTACACTCAGCCCAATTTTCATCCTAGTGGTTTGGGCAACACGGATGTCATGAGCCCAAAGCCCTGTCTCCTGTTAAGGGTCAGAGGTCACCTGGCCCCACCCCAGCCTCCTTGGCTCACCCTGTCTCCTACCCCTCTAGCCTGTGGGATGCTCTGGCATGAAGATAGGATTCTTCCTATTTCAGATTGATGTGCAGCTTTGGAATGTGGTGAGGGGTGTCCCTTGTGAGAAGGCCAAAGGAAGTGACCACTGTGGGGAGCCTCAGGGTCATTTATACACTCAGAACGCAGGAGGAACATGGGTGTTTGCTCCCATGGCTGTAGGTCCTTGGGCTGTGCACAGCCAGGGAAGGAGATGCCACTTTCCAGGTGAGCAGTGTGAGGCTCAGAGAAGAAAGTTGACTTGCCTGAGGTCACACAATTAGTAAGGCTGCCAGGCCCCTGGACTACTCTTATCTTCTAACCACAATCCACTCATCCATCCATCCAGCCATCCATCCAGCCAGCCAGGCAGCCATCCTATCCAGATATCCAAGCATCCATCTACCTATCCATCTATCCATCCATCCATCCATTACCCATCCATCTTTCTATCCATCCTTTCATCCATCCATCCATCCCTCTATCTATCCTTCCATCTTTTCACCCATCCATCTTTCTATCCAAACATCCATCCATCCATCCTTCTATCCTTCCATCTATCCTTCCATCTTTCTATCCATCTTTCCATCCATACTTCTATCCTTCCATCCATCCTTCTATTCAGATATCCAAACATCCATCCATCCATCCTTCCATCCTTCTATCCCTCCATCCATCCTTCCATCTTTCTATCCATCCTTCTATTCAAATATCCAAACATCCATCCATCCATCCATCCATCCATCCATCCATCCATCCATCCATCTATCCATCTATCCTTCTATCCAAATAGCCAAACATCCATCCATCCATCCATCCATCCTTCTATCCTTTCATCTTTTCACCCATCCATCTTTCTATTCAAATTTCCAAACATCTATCCATCCATCCATCCATCCTTCCACCTTTCTATCCATCCTTCTATCCAAATATCCAAACATCATCCATCTATCCATCCATCCATCCATCCATCCTTCCATCTTTCTATCCATCCTTCCAACCACCTTCTACCCTTCTATCCAAATATCCAAACATCCATCTATCCATCCATCCATCCATCCATCCATCCATCCATCCATCCATCCATCCTTCTATCCCTCCATCCATCCTTCCATCTTTTCACCCATCCATCTTTCTATTCAGATATCCAAACATCTATCTATCCATCCATCCTTCCTTCCTTCCATTCTTCTATTGAAATATCTAAACATTCATCCACCTATCCACTTATCCAACCTTCTATCCATCCTTCCATCCTTTCACCCATTCATCCATCCTTCTTTCTATCCTTCCTTCCATCCATCCATTTGAGGGCCAACTGCCTTCCCATCTAAGCACCAATGTACACCTTAATTTACTATACAAGTATTGAAAGTGGCCGTGAATAAAATTCACACAGAGCAATGATAACATATATTATTAATTAATATCCTTGATGTGTTTTGCTAATAATTGTGGCTGAACTTAAGAAATGAGCTCAGTAAGTCATGACTTTGATGAGACCTCATTGGTCACAGCGATGCTTGGGCCAAAACAAGTATGAATAGGTCCCAAAGCATCCAGCCAGCCTTGCCATGTGGGCCCTCAAGTCTCCGGGGACCCTAGGGTTTGAGACAACCCTCAGGTCACTGTATCTCCCCCAAGTGGAGCCTGAGGTGAAGCTCATCGGCAACATCCATGGCAATGAGGTGGCAGGGCGGGAGATGCTCATCTACCTGGCCCAGTACCTGTGCTCCGAGTACCTGTTGGGCAGTCCCCGTATCCAGCGCCTGCTCAACACTACCCGCATTCACCTGCTGCCCTCCATGAACCCCGACGGGTACGAGGTGGCGGCTGCCGAGGTGAGTGCCACTACCTTTGACATCCTCCCATCTGTTCATTCACTAGCAGTGATGACCCACCATTCTGGTGATGGGCATTCAGCAGGCATCAACATCAGCAAGGTCCTACTTGGGGTGGGGGCAGACACCGATAATTCTGCAGTGTGTGAGAAAGAGGATGTGCTCTGTAAAGAAATCTGAGGGAAAGGGGGGGCAGGGCGAGATGTCACGGCAGCTGGAGGGCCGGGGCTCTCTGATGTGACTTTGAGCGGGGCCCCAGCGGAGGTGGGGAGCAAGCAGTGCACGTAAAAGTTGGGGGGATTCAGGCAGGGGGGCAGCCAGTGCAAGGCCCTGAGTTTGGAGGCTCAGCAAGGAGGTTGGGTGGGAGGAGCCGGACAGATGGGAGAGGAGGTCAAGGACAGCTTGGCTGGACATGCTCCCAAGTTCATCCCACAAAGCCAGGGAGAAACGGGGACCCTCGCCTCTGACTCCGCCCAGCCCCGTGGCCTCCCTGCAGAAGGAGTTGGGGTGGGCTGTGCTAACCCCTAGGTGGGGGTGGCCTGTGTTTCAGGGCGCCGGCTACAACGGGTGGACAAGCGGGAGGCAGAATGCACAGAACTTGGATCTGAACCGCAACTTCCCTGACCTGACGTCTGAGTACTACCGCCTGGCCGAGGCCCGTAGCGTGCGCGGCGACCACATCCCCATCCCGCAGCAGTACTGGTGGGGTAAGGTAGGAGCTGCCCCCGACCACCCCGTGCACAGTCATGCATTTGAGGGGTCTCTGGTCATTCTGGGACTGCAGGTGCTGTCTCCCCAGGGCAGGAGAGCCTGCAATTAGCAGCCTGAGCCTCTGAGTCTCTGTTTCCTGCCTGGGACAGGGGGGTAACTCTTCACTGGGTTGTTGGGGTTCAGGGAACACGTATGGGAAACACCCTGGGCCTGGCAGGTACTCAGTGACAGCTCCCAGGCAGGCTGCCTGGAGGAAGTGATGGCCGCAGGAGGTGGGAAAATGAGTTTCAGGCAGGGGTGCGGGCAGGTGGGAGAGCCTGGTGGCACCTGAAGGGGATCTTGAGGGCCCGGTGGGGGCCGGGCCAGGGCCTTGGGGCGGGGCGGGCAGGTTCGGAGGGCCCAGAGACGGCTGGAGGAGGCTGTGGGCATGGCCGGGGCGGCCAGCAGGGCTGTGCCTGGTCCTGAAGACGGCCTCGTCCGTGCTGGGCAGGTGGCCCCCGAGACCAAGGCGATAATGAAGTGGATGCGGACCACCCCGTTCGTGCTCTCGGCCAGCCTCCACGGGGGCGACCTTGTGGTGTCTTACCCCTTCGACTTCTCCAAGCACCCCCAGGAAGAGAAGATGTTTTCTCCCACGCCCGATGAGAAGGTGAGAGGGGGCGGGCCCTACTGTGTGTGCAGGGGAGGCTGCCTTGGGGGTAGCGCCCTTGGGGCTGGCCTGACCTTGTTCCTGTTCTGAGCTCAGTGAGACCCACCCAGTCCCAGGAACAGTAGGAGCTTTCCAGGCCCAGCTCTAAAGGCCCTTCCTCCAGGAAGCCTTCCAGCCAGCTGGAAGCAGCCCATCCTTCCTCTGGCCACACCCCAGCTCCCATCAGTGTCCCCAGCGGGGAGCCCCTGGGGTGGGAACTGTAGCCCAGCGTCCTCCCTGCCTGGCCGCAGGGAGAGGGTGGGGTTCCAGGCGATGCCAGCAGAGGGCAGTGTTGCAGTGTGCATGGCGCCCGCCTGACCTTGGCCGCCTCCCTGCTTCTCCTGGGCCTTGCAGGTTTGCGGAGGGTCCCCTGGGCGGGCTCCGGGGAAGCAGCAGGATCAGAGGAGGAATTCTGGTCCTGGAGTTCCATTGGGTCTGAAGAGGCCTTTCCCCTGTTCAGGCCTCAGTTTCCCTCACTGGTCAGGCCAGCTGGGGAGGACGTGATGATGGCCAGAACCCTCTCCACCCCCTCTTCCCTTAAGGACTGGCTGCGGGTGGTCTCCTCGCCCTAATGGGGCTCCTTCCCAGGCCTGATCCCGGAGCTCATGCAGGCTGGTCTGGGAGGTGGGAGTCCATCACTTTCCATGTTTTGGAGGCGAAGGGGGTGATCTGTGTGGCACAGGGCCCACAGACGAGCTCACTGAAGGAGCTGCCCACACCGTCCCCGGTGACCCCTCTCCCACCAAGGCCAGTTCCTGGGCTCCTTCCCATCTCCTCTGGGGACGACAAAGCTGGACGCTCTGGCCTTGGCCAGCCTGGGGGCTTGGAAAGGTCCCAGCTCTCTGCTCAGTCACCCAGCAGGGCTCCCGGTGGACCAGGGGCGGTGGGGAGCCAGGCCTGCCTTCTGCTTTGTGGCAGGGCAGGGAGCGGGGAGTGGGGGCTGTGTGGACAGCTGTCCGTAGCTCCCTGCCCATTCCCCTCCCTTGGCCACACAGATCAGCTCAGCCTCCCCCAGCCTCCCCCCAGCCCCCCGATGTTGTGCGCTGGTCTGTCTCAAGCAGGACCAGCCCCTGACCCCCGGGTTGTCAGAGGGCGGGGTCAACAGCGGGACAAGGCCTGGGTCCCCTCGGCGGCCGGAGCCCTCGGTGCCAAGCCCAGTGTCTGAGTCCAGAGGTAGATGTATGAGGATGTCCCTGGGGGGGAAGTTCACCTCAACGAGTCCCACCAGAGTCAGAAAACTGAGAGTCTTCCCCACCAACCATCAATCATGGATCCATCATGCTCAGGCCCACAGCCAGCAGTGGTCTCTGTGGAAACCAGGGTCCCAGGAGGGGCGCTGGGGGGCGGGAGAGTGCGAAGAGAGGCTGGCCAGGGTGTCCCACGTCACCTCCCCCAAACTCCTGTGGTGCCCCATGGACGAGAGCCAGCACCTCTTGGTGCCATTCCAGGCCATCTGTCCCCCTATACCTGTCCCTTCAGCCACAGTCTTTCTCCCAAGCTCGGCTCAAGCTCTATCCTGCTCCTCAAACCCTCCCCAACCCAGCCCACCCCCAGCAAGAGGGTCCCAGGCGGCATAGCTGGGTAGCCCCTGGCCTGAGCTCCTGCAGAGCACCCGCCCACTTCCCTGCACCACCTCGTTCATTTACAGCCGGCTGGCCTCCTGATGTCCTTGTCCTGTGCCTGTCCCCCCAGGTCGGGCCTGTTCCCAGCAGGCCTGCGGCTTGTGTGTCCCTGGGCTTTGGGGACTGACGATGACTTTCCCTGCTCTCCCAAGGGCAGGCAGTGTGGCGGTGGGGCTGACTGATGGGTGACGGGGGGAGACCGAGGCAGGATGGGTGGGGAGCCTGCCTCACCAGACCAGGCACTGCTTTGCAGGCAGACAGGGGAGGCCCAGAGAGGTGGGAACCCAGGCAGAGTTCTCGAGGCAACCCCGTCAGCACCTGTGGGCAGAGGGCCCTTTTCTTAGGGCCCTGGGACTCCTGGCTGAGGACGGCTGCTGGAGGATCTGCCGACCTCAGTGACTGTAGGACATGCATGGGCTTGTATTTTGGGTGCTTGGCTTGTGTCTGAGGGACGGAGCTGAAATCACACGGCCCTACCCCAGAGACACTGGACCCATCCTCCCCCAAAGCCCAGGTTCTGGAGTCGCCATGACCCCCACCGGAGAGACCCTCACTCTGGCCTGGCTCCACGTGCCCAGCCTCCCCCTTTTTGCAGAGGGGTCCCCTCACAGGGACAGGCTTCTCCCAGGGCCATGCGGCTCTGACAAGCGTAGTGCCCTGGGCCCCGTTATCCACATGACCCTGAGCAGAGCCCTGTCCTTCGCTGGGACACAGGCACGGGAGGACCTGCGCGCCTGCCTGGTGTGAGGGCAGCACGGGGGGCAGGGAGTGCTGCGCTGGGGGCAGGGGCTGTGGACACACTCAGACGTGCCTGCCCCTAAGGCTGCCCCCAGGGGTGCCGGCCCCGGGTCCCGTGTCCCTCCACCCACCGCAGTGGAAACCGCACGTGTGTGGCAGCAGGTGGGGGGCTCCCAAAGGCACAGGTTGTCCCCGGAGAACATGGGGTGATGGTTATCATAGAGGAGTCAGCGGGGAAGTCAGTGCAAATAAGGCCCACCCCAGCCTCCCGCCTCTCCCGAGGCCTGCCCTCTGCAGGAAGTGCCTGGGAAACTGCAGAGCTCACCTCGGGGAGCCCTGCCAGCGTCTCCTCAGTGAACCCCCTTCTTGGGAGAAAGCCCACCCTCCCTAGCCAGGTGTGCAGGGGCTCCATAGGGTGCCAGGTTCCCACCACAGGTGCCTTGAGCTCTGGCTCTCCCCCCTCCGGGCCTTTGCACGTGCTGTGCCGTCTGCGTGGACACCATTCCCCGCTCCTATCTGTGCTGCAGACCCCTCCTCACCCCATTGCCCCCCGCGCTGAGAGCGTCCTGCAGGGTGCCCCACCTTCTGGCCTTGGCCTCACGAGAAACCTGTCCCTTGGTCTCCTTTCCAGATGTTCAAGCTGCTGGCCAGGGCCTATGCTGATGTTCACCCCATGATGATGGACAGGTCGGAGAACAGGTGTGGCGGCAACTTCCTGAAGAGGGGCAGCATCATCAACGGGGCGGACTGGTACAGCTTCACCGGAGGTACGGGTGGAGGGGGGCTGGGCTGGGGCGGGGGACGGGGAGGGGGTGGGGAGGGGAGGGCTTCAGGAAGGTGGGAGGAGGAGGGGGAGGTGGGGGAGGGGCTGGAAGGGGGGGCGGCCAACATCTCCTCCCGGCAGCTCTTTGTGGGAACTGGGTTCTGGAACTTCTGGAATGTGGGGGAGCAGCAGCATGTGCATCCCGGCCTGTGTGGGGGTGATCTGGCCTCCGTTCTAGCTGCTGTCTTGAGGACCTTCCGGTGACAGGTGTGGCAGGGCTATATTCCACCCCACCCCCCGCCGGTTCTGTGGGGGCACTTCGGGAGCACTGACCTTGAGTGACCCCACCTGTGACCAATTCTTTTCTGCCTCTTGGGGGACGGGGGGGTGCCCTAGGGAATAAAGGACCCCAGTGAAACTTGAATTTCAGAGAAATAATGAAGCATTTTTAGTACTAAGTATGTCCCAATACTGCATGGGATATACTTACACTAAACTTTATTCATTGTTTTTCTGAAGTTCCATGTTAACTGGGCGTCCAGGTGGACATCACACAGAGCAAAGCGGGGTGCGCGGGACCCTATGTGCCCTGAGAGGCACCTGCTGGGCCGGGCCTGCGTGCTCCTGCACTCTGCCTGCCTCCCCTCCACCCTGGCACGACACTTAGTATTTAGGAGATTTGGCAGATGAGGAAATCGGGCTCGGGCAAGAGAAGGGCCTGTTGGCGTCCATGCCACAGGGGGTGGAGCTGTGGGCAGATCAGCCCCTTCGGCTCCTGTGCTGAAGCCAGTTCACAGCCCTGCTCGGCAACCTTGCCCCTGCCACCCCCAGATGGCCCTGGCGGGCCTTTCCCGGGAGCATGAGGCCCTCTGTCCCTGGCCACTGGCCCCGTGTTGTCCTTGGGTCTGTGCCCCTGTGGCAGCGAGCCCGGCTCCCTCTCCCAGGCTCAGACCAACCCCGTGGGTCCCTTGCAGACCCTGGACATGGGGTCATGCTCAAGACTCGGAGTCAGGGACCCCGCACCTGGGCTCTGAGGGACAGAAGCTGCCCCATGGCCCCGGGAAAGGCCCGCAGGCTGTGAAGATCAAGTTGGTGGCAGTGGCTGCTGACTTTTGAAGGGCAGGGGCCACCTCGGCTCCCGACACAGGGCTGCCCCGGCCGTGCAGGAGGCCTGCCCTGGAGACCGGGTGTAGCTTCTCCTGGACAAGAAACTCTGCAAGCCCATGGGGCAGAGAGCAGGAGCGGGTGGATGGCCGGCAGCCCAATTTTCTCGAAGCCTCTCTCTGCCACTGGATTGCGCAGCCTGTGTTCTCCCTGGAAGTGGGGGCTGGAGGACCTTCCTCCCGGGGCTGTTCTTGGGTCTGGCTAGGTACACGGATGCTGTTGTCCTGGGGTCCAGGCCAGGAGAGGGCCAGAGGCTTGGCCTCCAGGGGCGCACGTGTCTCTACTGGAAATGGGCTCATTCCTTACCCACCCAGGGGCCCACAGGACGGAGCGTAAGCCCAAGGACTTGGGTGCCAGAACACCTGGGTTCAAAGTGCAGCTCCGTCCCTTCCCCCCGTGGGACCTGGGTCAGGCCACCAGCGCCCCGCGCCTCGGTCTGCTCATCGTAAAGTGGGGATGGGGCAGGAGCCACTCACGACTGCCCGGCCGCCCCGCCCCCGCCGGCCAGGGTGGGGGTGCGTGTCCAGCGTGGGCGGGTGCGCGGGTGTCGAGCGCGGCGGGCGAGTGTCGAGTGCGGGGGGCGGGGGCGGGTGCCAGCGCGGGCACGCGGGTGTGGAGCGCGGGCACGCGCTGAGGGCACTGCCCTGCGCCGCAGGCATGTCGGACTTCAACTACCTGCACAGCAACTGCTTCGAGATCACGGTGGAGCTGGGCTGCGTCAAGTTCCCCCCGGAGGAGGCCCTCTACACGATCTGGCAGCACAACAAGGAGCCCCTCCTGAACTTCGTGGAGATGGTGAGGCCCCTGCGGCTTCGCTCCGCAGGCCTGAACGGCGCTGTGGGGCGGACCGGGTGCGCGGCTGCCCCGACTTGTGTGTTGGCTAGCCGTCCATCCGTTCACGGGCCACCTCCTGTCGGCCAGCCCTGGGGGCGCTTGGGACAGCAGGGGGTGTGCGTTGGGCCCCCCAGGATAGCGAGGCTCTCAGGGCCTAAAGGGGCACCACGGAACAGGGAGGATGCAGAGACCAAAGGCGGCCGAGGGATGGCACCTGACTCAGCCTTGGAGGCCATGGAGGTGGTAGAGGAGGTGGCACCCGGGCTGCATTGTGAAGAAGTGGGAGGAACCAGGCAGTGGGGACGGCCTGGGAGGGTCCCCAGGCCACAGTGAGGAGCGTGGATGCGGGAATGGACTGGGCACTGGGTGGGGGGAGGCCTCAGGGTGATGCTCTGGGCGGCGGGGCCTGGAGCATGTCTGCCCCTCGGGCTCAGAGGGCAGGGCACTGGCTGCTGGGGGAGGGGTGGGGCAGCCGGACTGAGGGGTAACTGCTGTCCTGGGGCCACGGTCACCCAGAAATAGGTGGTGGTGCTGAGCAGAAGCCACTAGGAACGTGTCTAGAACAATCGTCAGTGGACCCTGGGAGTGGTCCCCCAGCAGCGTGGTGACCGCGGCCCGTGCGTCTCCCAGTCCTACCTGCCAGTGTGGCTCACAGAGGTGGTCTGAGGGCGGTAACCCCATGGGACAGGCACGCAAGGGGTGAGGCGGAACCTAGCATGGCCCTGCAGACACCCTGGTGACTTTTGTCCTGAGCATTTTCGAGACTCAGGTGACTCACACATTGGCACGTGTCCCCGGAAGAAGCAGGCCCTGAGGGAGGGACAGGATGGCCCGAAGGGGACAGTGAGGGGATGTACGTGCGTAGCATGTTACAGTTGGCACCCCCCACCTACGGCCTTCAATCCTGACAGCAGTCCTGGCTGTTAGAAGGGGCTGCCCCATTTTGTGGGTCGAGGGACAGGTGCTAGGGAAGGACGGTGCTGGCCTGGGGCTGCTGGGTCACTCGTGGGCTCCCAGGCCTGGCTCTCAGCAGCCACGAGAAAACCAGAGGAGGAGACAGAGGGTCAGATAGTGACAGGACCTGCCCCGTGTCGCCCAGTGACTGCCCAGAGCTCAGAGCTCACACTCTGATCTGCCTGCCCCAAACCTCAGTTCTGCCAATGAATCCTTTCTAGAAAGATCAGGAACCTTCCTCCAGGCAAGAACCAAGCAGAGCCTCCTGGGTCAGCAGCTGCCACTGTCGGATAAAAAGCAAAGCCCAGATAAGAGCTGGATGTTGTTAGTGTTGTTCGAGCTTCTATTTTATGGCTGTGCCCGCGACCTCTTGCTGTGTGGGGCAGGTCATCATTCAGTAATGGGTCTGGGCCAGACCCCTCGCTCATTTCATTTTACGGCTGTCTGGTGAAAATTAGTTTTAAGGAGCCTTAAATGGGGCTGGGATTGCTCTGTGGATATTGTATGTGAGGTCTTGGGGTATAAAGATTTAATAGTGAGCACGGAAGGGTGGCAGGCGGGTCGTGAAGCCGGGTGTGGCTGGCCCCTGAGGACGAGGCCCCAGGAAGGCCGTGCTGGGGCTTCTGATAAGGATCGAGTCTGTCATGGCCCATGGAGGCCTTCTTCACAGTGATGCTGACCAGACTTTGGGTGGGTGTCTGCATCTCCCTGGGTTGGGAAGGGAGGGGCATGCGCACCATGTCTCCTTCCCTGCCGGAGAGCTGCATGTCCCGGGTCTGCAGGAAGGTGATTCCTCAGCTCGAAAGCAAGGGCAGAACAAAGTTTAGCCTGTGAAAGCTGACATGAAATGAGACCCTACTATGTGTCTGGCCTCTCCCCTAGGTTGTGGGGAGGAGGGCAGACAGTGACATTACGGTGAAATCAGGGCTGGGAGTGTGGAAGCCCATCACTGGGGACCCCGGAGGAGGACCCTGATGTGGCTGGTCATCAAGGAGGGCTTCCTGGAGGAAGAGGAGTGTGGGGGAGAGGAATTGGTTGGTTCTGAGCAGAGCAGGGGCAGGATGGGGGATCGGAGGTCTGGGGCAGCACTGCAGGTGTAGGGGACAGCCTCCCGGGAGAGAAGAGTCTCTCTGCACTGTCTCCCTTCCCACCCACCTTGGCCTCGTTTGACATGACCCGTGGGCCCCAAGTTGTTTGCAGTCCGATAGAGCAAGGGCGGGTTGGCTTGTTTATTGCTGACATTTTTAGGAGAAGGAGTGTGAACAGGGCCAAGCAGTTCTGACGGGGCCCTGCTTGGGATGCAGCTTCCTCACCTGAAGGTATCCGCTCAGAGCGGGCAGTGTCTAGACCGGGACCTACCTTGAGTCCCGGCTCTGCTGTGCGCCATTCTCCAGCAAGACCCGAGGCCCATTTTACAGATGGAAGACGTGCTGAGATGCAGGGTAGCTTGTCCAAGACCAGAGAGTGGTTGATGCCTTGGCTGGGACTGACACGAGGGTCCAAACCCTGGGTCCATGTCCTCCCAGTGCCCACGCTCAGGGAAGAGCAGCCACACCGACCTGCTCTACATATGAAGGGGGAGCTGAGATGAGCTCCGGGGTTTTCTGCTCAGCACCCCTGGCCCAGGAGAGACGGCTGGGTGGACCCTCGAGCAGAACTGCAGGGTCATGCGCAAGCCCGGAGGGGGGCTCTGAGGATAGATGAATGGGAGCTGGCTGGGCTAGGCCGCCCGTCCTCTGGAGAGCATGCACCATATCCACGCCCTCTCTCTCCCTCTCTTCAGGTGCACCGCGGCATCAAAGGTGTGGTGATGGACAAATTTGGCAAGCCGGTCAAAAACGCCCGGATTTTGGTCAAGGGCATCCGCCATGACATCACCACAGGTGAGCACCTTCCTGGGGCCCGAGTCGTGGTGGCTGGCTCCCGCAAGCGGTCACTTGGCCTGGTGCCCCAAGGGGCTGCTCCACTTATCCTCCACGGGTTTTGAGGGATGAATAGGAGTTGGGCTGAGGAAGCAGTGGGAAGGGTGCTCCAGGCCAGTACAGAGGCGGGTGCTTGCCCTCCAGGCTGATGCCCCTCGGGCCCCCAAGTCTCGGCACCCTCGGCACCTCAAGCCCGAATGTGAGCCTAGGTCTGAGAATCACTTGTGTTCTGTTTGTTCACAGCCCCAGATGGCGACTACTGGAGACTGCTACCTTCGGGGTCCCACATCGTCATAGCTCAGGCCCCCGGCTACTCCAAGGTCATCAAGAAGGTCACCATCCCTGCCCGGATGAAGAGGGCTGGCCGTGTGGACTTCATTCTCCAGCCTCTGGGACCCAAGAAGCTTCTCCTCGGGCTACGGAGAAATGGGTCTGGGCCCCGAGACCCGCCGGGAGGTGCCAGCCCATATGGGGAGCCCGAGGAGCCGGGCTGGGAGCCCCTCGGGGGACGGAGGCAGCCCTCTGCGGGCGGGAGCAAGCCATGGTGGTGGTCCTACTTCACGTCCCTGAGTCAGCACAAGCCGCGCTGGCTGCTCAAGTACTAGCCTCCCCCCACCCTCTGGCCCAGAGGCTCCAGGCTCTTGATTTTGTCTTCAGAAGACACCCTGTAAAGCTGTTTCTGTTTTATTAAAGTCATTTTATTTACTGTCGGCCATGGTGAGAGGCTCTGGGCATGAGGCACGCCGGCCTCGTCCACCCAGATGGCCCCGGGGCAGGTGGTCCCATGGGCAGCCAGCTGTGGGGTAGACCCTGAGGCCCCAAAGCAAGAGGGGCCCTCTACCTTACAGATGGGGACACTGAGGCTCCCGGGGAGGTGACACAGGGGGAGGGAGGTGCAGGGCCAGCCGGGAGCAGAGACTCTGGGAGTATGTGGAGGTAGGATGCAAAGGAGAAAGTTTTCAGGAGAGCCTGGCTGGGAGGAGTGGGGGGGTGGGCAGCAGGTGACCTCAAGGGCAGGAGAGCTGGTGAGAGCTCAGGGACCATAGCATCACCCAAGGGTCACACTTGGTGGCTCCTGGGCTTTGATGGGGCCCTACCTCCAAGACGAAGCATCTCCCTTGGCTCCTTTCTCAACCTTATGATAGCACCAACACAGGTCCAGAGACCCACCCCCAGGCCTCAGACTCCCCACAAGACTTCTCCTGGCCCATCTCTCTATAGTCAGGCAGGTCCGTGGGTCCTCGGATCCCTGAGGCAGGGAGACATGCGGCCCATCAGAGAACACTGGCAAAGAAGGTGTGCCAGTGAGCTAGGGCTGTGTAACAACATGCCACAGGCTGGGGGCTCGAGCCACAGGGATTTGTTTCCTCACCGTCCTGGAAGCTGGACGCCCAAGGTCAAGGTGTAGACAGGGGTGGTGCCCTCTGAGGCCACGAGGGAAGGATGCGCGCCAGCCCTGTGTCCTTGGCTCATAGACAGCTGGCTTCTCCCCGCATCCGTGGGCCATCTTCTGTCAATGCTTGTCTGCCTTTCTTTCCCGCTTTCCCGCTTATAAGGACACCAGTCATATTGGATCAGGGCTACCCCAACGGCCTCATCTTAGTTTGATCACTTCTAGGAAGACCCCCATCTCCAAATACAGTCAGGTTCACAGATACTGGGGGTGAGGAATTCAACACATACCTTCTGGGGGAACGCAGTTCAGTGCATCATCGAAGGCTCGTCTGCAACGCGGCAGCCTCCCGGCTGCTCCCGCCTGCGCCACTGGGGCCCCCACCCAGAGGGGGATCCCATGTGAGCAGAGCCTTGGCCCCAGCCGACCCCCACCATGACCCCTACCAGCACATCAGCATGGTCTTACGGCTGGCCTGGCCTCTGCCATCTCAGAAGGCTTCCGGGCAAGCTGAGAGGAGCAGGTGCGCGCCCAGCACCAGGGGGTGGGGTCTGCGGAGCGGGGGCGCGGGCGTGCTCACGTCCTCAGTCTGGCCGGGACACAGCGGCTCACAAAGCGAGCCTGTGTATATCGGTCATGATCTGGAGTGTTTGTCAGACATCCTTCGGGGCTCTCGACCCTACCTTCACCCCTGTGTCCAGTGGTTCTGAAGGTCATCATGTATTTGGCTCTACTGTGTACCAGGTCTGCGTGGAGCAGACCACTCTTCCCGATTTACTGGTGTGGGTGCAGCCCAGAGAGCTTGCACCGCTTGCCCGGGACCTCGGAGCGTGTTGCTGGCAGCTCGGTGCCTCCTGCAGGACGACTGTGTGAGGCTTCTGCTGTCCACAGCTGTCTGGAGAAGAGCCTATCGGAGTGGGCATGAAGGCCAAGAGCTCAGCGGGGCCCCTGTTCGTTCCAGGAGCTGAGGCCTAGGCCCCAGTGAGGGGGTGAGGATGGGGATGGCCAGGATGAGGAGAGAGATGGCCTGAGAGGTGTGGGGGTGGCTGTGGGCAGTGGACCATGGCAGTGGGAGGGTCAAGTGGGGACAGGTTGGGCTCCCTATTTCTGGCCAACAGGGGACCATTTTGGTGGCTCCTATGATCTTTTCTTTTGATAGAACTTAGGACAGAGCCCCACATGGAGGAGGCTAGAAGCTAAGGTCCACCTGCTGTGTTCACCGTGAGACTGAAGGGGATGTCAGAACAGGGGGGACCTCGGGATTCAGTGAGAAGCAGGGAGCCTCCGCAGGGCCCACGGGGCAGCTCTGGCTGCGGGAGCCGGGTTAGCTCTCCTCCAGGGGGTCGGCTCTCTGCACGCTGGTAGGAGGGGGTTCCAAAGGGAGCGTGCACGCTCCGGGGTGTCGCTGCTGGTGGGCGTCCTTACAAAAGAGCTGGCAGTTGAATCTGGAGGTAGGGAAAGGGAAGGTGGCCCAGCATCACTCTCAGATGCTGCCAGGGGGGACAGGAGGGTGAACAGCATCACGAGCCACAGCAGAAGTGAGGAAAAGGCAAAAAATCTCACAGCAAGGAAAATAGAATGAATGCACAAGAACACAGAAGGAATAAAATGCAGACCACCAGAAATGTGCATGAGCTGAATCCTCCACTAAGAAAGCAGAGACCACCAATTTGAGTTACGAGAAAAAAAAAAAAAGGCAGTGTGTACTTCAAGGAAGCATGCTTGAAAGCAAGTGATACAGGACGCGAAGAGAAGCCAAGAAATGCAGACACCCAGACGACGAGGGCTTCATCGGTAGCAGAGGAGGTGGGACTGGGGATCAAACACAGTAAATGGGAGAGAAAGATGTTGGAGGATCGAACAATTTATGACTAAGATAAAATAATAAACCTGCATTATACACTAATCAACTTAGTGGCTAACGATGTAAAGCCAAGTCATTTAAAAATACAAGCAGAATTCCTGTAGGAACTGCGATGTGTCATTTTGGGAATCAGACCAGTCCAGTGGCTCAGTCAGTCAGCCGGGTTTTATTTAGAGAAACAGAGTCACGCATGGAGCCAGCAAACTGAGTTTAACGAATGTGTACGAGGTGTTGCTTACTTCAAGTGGAGAGTGCACATTCCTCCCAAGACCCACTGTATTTGTAAAAATGGATAATAAGCTTTTGTAAAAATGGATAATAAGCTTCATCTCAAAGAACACCTTAAGCAAAATTTAAAAGGTGGAGATTATCTCCAGCCATAGCCTAGACAAATTAAAAATAATTAAGGGTAAAAAAAACCCTTTACCATTTGGATTTAGCTGCATGGCAGAGAACCAACATGGGGTGGATTAACACTGTGGAAGTTAGTTTCCAGGACAGAAGTCTGGGCTAGGCGGTGGCCAGACAGCGGGATGTTTTATGAGACCCCAGGCTCCATCCACTTGCTGTTCCACCATCCTGGGGTGAGGCTTCCCCTCTATGCCATCACTTCTGCTCACATCTCATTGGCCAGAACTCAGTCACATGGGCAGGCCTGCCTCAAAGAATGCTGGGAGTTGTAGTTTTTATCTTGGGGGGGAGGGGGCTCCATAAAAATGGGGGGCTCCCTAGGTTACCATAGCAAAAGGGGAGGATGGGTTTTGGAAGACGTTGGACTCTGCACGACATTGCTGGAGTGGAAAGGAAAGGGGACTGCGGGAAGAAGCTACCGGGGGAGAGGAGATGAGGACAGCTCCTCTGTGGCCCGTGGTGGCTGGTGCCCAGAAGCAGGTAAAGCAGGTGCACCGTCACTGACAGGGGAGACAGAGAGCCAAGGAACTGACCCATCACCTTTTATAAAATCCACAAGATAAGAAGAGGAGAAAATTAGAGACAAAAGACGAAATTCCATAAATAGCAAACAGACAAAACAGTAATAAGTATTAATAAGTCCCAAAGCTGACTATTTTTTTTAACAGATTTTATTTATTCATTTGTCAGAGAGAGAGAGAGAGCACACAAGCAGGGGGGAGCAACACACAGAGGGAGAAGCAGGCTTCCCGCTGAGCAGGGAGCCGGATGCGGGGCTCGATCCCAGGACCCTGGGATCATGACCTGAGCCGAAGGCAGACGCCCGATGACTGAGCCACCCAGGCGCCCCAAAATTTTATTTATTTACTTGACAGAGAGAGACACAGCGAGAGAGGGAACACAAGCAGGGGGAGTGGGAGAGGGAGAAGCAGGCTTCCCCGCTGAGCAGGGAGCCCAGTGTGGGGCTCGATCCCAGGACCCTGGGATCATGACCTGAGCCGAAGGCAGATGCTTCACCGACTGAGCTACCCAGGCGCCCCCAGAGCTGGTTCTTTAAAAAAATCAACAAAAGAGACAAATCTCTCATAAACCTGATTAGTAAACAAAGAAAGCACACAGAATACTCTTAAAAATGAGAAAAGACACCCAACTGAAAAACTGGAGATTTAAAAATATCTTTAAAAGAATTTTAAATGAATTCTATGGCCAGAAAATTGAAGGCCTAGAGGAAAAGAGGTGGTTTCCCAGGAAAATATAAATTCAATATATAAGATAGAAAAATGTAAGTGATGAAAATTAAACCCGGAGGAAGCTGCTTCCTTGGAGAGATCTCATGCCCCAGGACGGATGTGCTGCTTTTGCCAAGTAGAGGGAGGGCAGTGGGTGACTGCTGACGGGAGGGGTCCTTCTGGTGGTGGGAATATTCTGGAATCAGACAGTGGTGGTGGCTGCACGGCTCTGTGAGTCTACTAGAACCCGATGCATTATGTACTTCAAGATGCTTAAAACGGTGAATTTAATGTTATGTGAATTTTATCTCAATTAAAAAAAAAAACAGGTCAGGGAGAAGGCTTGGTGGAAAGAGCGCCCACGGCTGAGGTGTGAGTGGCCCCAGGTGCTGGTCTGAGGGGAGCTCAGGGCTGAGAGGACTTACAGGCTACGGGTGAGGGGTTGTGAGTGCCCGGAGCCCCTCATCCGTCCTCAGTGGTGGGAGGCTGTCACACTTGCCAGGGCTCAGCCTCCTCTCATCTGTGGCCCCCGGGGGGCCCAGCGTCCACCCAACTTGCCACCACACTGCACACAGTTCCTTGCAAGTCCTCCCTGCTCCGTGAGCGAGTAGGAGTGAATGATGAGTAGGGGGATGAGTGCAGCGGGCCTCTGATTTGGGTGTTGTGCAAGTGACAGCCTTGTCAAGGACAAGAGTGCGTGCTGAGTGGCGGGTGGGGCAGGGGACGAGCGTGTCCCTGGCTGCCCACCGAAAGCCAGGACTGTCTAGATACTTCCCTTTGTGAGAAAGCGCTTCCTTAAACGGGGCTCCTGCC